TGTTTTTAGCAAATATCATTTAGATTTTGAAATTTATTCATCTTATATTTATAGCTCTAGTACTAATTTTGTTTTTAAAATAAAATAAATATAAGTTCGGCTTTTAAAGAGTTTATTTACTGATTGCGTTATTTTTAATGGGTTTGAATTTCGGTTTGTTTTATAAAAAAAATTCTTTGGCAAACGGCTAAGGGAAAACCCAAACATAACATTTATAACTCGAGTTTAAAAGAACTTTTTTGTATTGAATTTATTTATTAACTTGTAGTTATAAAATGAATAATTCTGTAAATAATGAATGAAACTGTAAAATAATGGCAAAATAAAAACTGGAAAATAATGCGCTTTTGTTTAGCGCATTATTCAGACCGGTATTTGGAACTGGAACTTACCTGAAACTTAACTGAAATTAAAATAAAGTTATATGTAATACGAACATTTTAAAGTAACTTGAATTAAATTTATTTAAACTTGAAAATTTTATCATAAAAAAAAATTGTAAAATGGAGCATTTTAAAATTAAAAAATTTTAAAATGCTCTATTTTAAAATTAAATAAAAGAATTATAATTAAATTTAATAAATTTATTTACTAAAAACTATGATTAATAAAAAAATATTTAAATTTAATAAAATGAATTAAAATTTTTTTTTTTTTTAATTTGAATGTTTTTAAACTTATGAAATATAAAACTTAATATTAAATATGGTAAAAAGTTTAAACTTAAAACACTTATTTTTTTTAAACTAATTTTTAACAACAACAACAATAAAAATAATTAAAAATTTTTTTCTTTAACAAAAAATCTATTATTTACCAATTGTGGTTAAATGCTTTTACTTACGACTTTATTTTCCTCTGAATAAACGTCACATAAATGATATCAAATGATAATTTAAATATTCTAAAAGATTAAAGTTTTTGCGTAACGCTAAACTGCTGAACGCGTAGGCAAATCGCCTTTTCGCAGGTAAAATGCAAGCTGCGTACGATTCTTAACAAGGCCTGATATATATATATATATGTATATATATACATATAAATGTATATATACACACACATATATATCAGGGTTGGCAAAAAAACCCAGCCCAAAAAAACCCACCTTCAAAAAAACCCAATAAAACCCAAAAAAACCCAAAATATGTTTGGGATTTTTTAAAAATGTCCTATTTTACAACTGATAACTCTGATTTTAACACTTATAAATGCTTTATTATCAGCAAGTGCAACTTTTATACTGTAATACAAAATAGTATTTAGAATATATCCAAAACCGATCAATCTGTTTCTTGGTGAAGAAACACACACAATAGAGCTATATAATGTGTTAGATTCAGTTTGCAAAACTGAGCCAGTAAAACATCTTCAAGGAAAAAAAAGAATCTGGTGGTGAAGACACTGTAATGGTTCTTAACAAATTCATTTTAGATATTTTAAGAACAATTAAAGCTTAGGCAAAAATCCATTTTTTGCCTAACTCCAGTTGATCAGGCCGATAACTTTTCCAGGAAGCTGGACAGTATAATGTTCTGTTAAAAAAAATGTAGTGATTAGGCTAACAGTTTTCTTCTATGATGCAAAAATGTTTAAAAAGTGTTCATAGTCATCCTGATTGACAATAATTTACAAGGTTGCAACATCATGTTGCAAACTTGCTGATTACATGTTGTAAGCTTGTGCAAACTAGTTTTTGAAATGATATGTTGAACATGTTAGTATAAAAAACTAGTTTGCAACATTTATATTGTCTTACCAACTTTGAATAACTCAATTGTCATAATAATTTTTATTGTGATTTTTTAGTCAATAATATTCTGAACATGTTTTTAATTTAGTGCAATTAATTAACATCATTTATAGTTGATGGAGTCCTCTATTGCACTATAGGTAAAATGTGCTTGTAGACTAGTAGTAAAATATTTGGCTTGCAATCAGAAGTTTAGGGGTTTAAATTACCTCTGCTGAAATTACTGTGCTCAATCTAATTCTCCGCATAGCGCCTTTATTTACAAAATTTTAGTTGTTAATGTTGTTTGTTAGTAAAAATGGTAATGTTAAGGATTGAGACAAAAGATTTTTAAAAAATGAGTTGCTCCCTTGACTGAAGTGATCATTGGAGCAATAGGGAGGTAAATTTATGAAATTAAAAAAAAAATTATTGTACTCATACAATTATAAAAATTTTGATCGGTTTTTAAAAAAACCAAAAAAAACCCATTTGGGTTGGGTTTTTTTAAAAAACCCTGGGTTCTTTCCAACCCTGATATATATATATATATATATATATATATATATATATGTATATATATATATATATATATGAATATATATATATATATATATATATATATATATATATATATATATATATATATATATATATATATACATTTATATATTTATAGTCTTAATAATATTTCTAAATTTTATAAATAAATTCCCGAAAAAATTATTAAACTATTTAAGTAGTTAAACCAATTGCTTTATTCATTACATTATATAATATTATTATTTAAAATAAAAAAAACTGTACAACTATATCTGATATTCACTTTATTATTGCTTCTTTCAATCATACTGCAATACAGTTCAAATGCTAATATATGTTTTTAACAAATTTTTTGGTTATCAAAATAACTTTTATTAAATGTCTAATATTTATTTAATGAAGTTTAAAAACTCTTTCTAGATTTCTTTTTTCTAAACAAATTTGTTTTTTTCAATATAGAATTGATTTTATGCAAGTTTACAACTCCTGTTTTATGCAAGTTTATAGCTCCTTTGAATACGATAATGAGTGAACACAAAAATAAAGTGGTAAAAAATGGTCTAGAAAACAGATAGCCACTTTTTTAAACATCTCAGTCAAACTAAAATAACAATTTTTTGAAAAATATGATAAACCTCAACATCTTAAAGCAATTCTGCTGTTAATTGTCAGCTTATTTTTACATAAACTTTCTGAATGCTAACTCTTCTTGTAGTAAAAAAAGCATCTGATAATACAGACCAAAGATTATCTAAATTTTTTAAATGACTACATTTTTTATCAGTATTATCATTTCACTCTTCAAAAAAATCTTGATTTATTCGTCAACTTTTTCTGCTAACAATTAAGTCAATTTTGCCAATTTTTTGACTAACGCATTCTTCGATAAAAAGCGATAAATACGTATCAACCAAAATATTGAACTAAATCTTTTTCTGTTTTTTTAAATATGATTAGCAAGGTTATATCCTACAAGAGGTGAGGATCTGTGAAAAAAATCCTTTCTGATCTGCAACTATAAAGTTTGGATAAAAAAACTTCAACTTCACTATAAATAGTTTTTATAACTTCTTTTTATTAACTTGAATGATAGATTCGTATCATCTTTTAAAAATCTGTACTTTGAAAGCTTGAAAACTTGAGTTTACAAAAAAATATTTATGATTCTAGATCTAATATGAAATAATCGAAGCACTGTTTATCTGTTGAGTTCGCCATTTTTTAGATTTTTGTGCACTTATTGGTAGTCTGGACACAATAAATAAGCGATTTTCAACATAAATTCAAAATTTTAACTTTTATTGTTTATAAACAATAGAATCTTGCGAAATCGGCCCAACTGGCCAGACTACCTGTTATTATGACTAGGGTAGATCTAGGGTATTATTAAAAAATAGTTTTGCAATAAAAGGTGAAAGAAAAAAAACATAGTTTAATAAATTGAATTATATTTCCTTAATTTTAAGTATATGCTTAACAGATAGATTATAGAATCTAGTTATTTCAACAATAGATATGTATTACCAGTGGTGTACACTGGATTTTTAGGTGTTTGAGTTTTGACACTTACAAGCATTGTGCAAACTCAACACTTTTGTATGTTCATGCTTATGTCAAATGAGAATGCTAAGAGTTGTGGTGATTGGAGCTTGGGGACAAAAAACCCCAAATTTTTGGGCCCACACAGCCCTTAACGTGGGAGCAACAAGTTTATAAAATAATTTCTTTAGTATTTTTATCCAAGTTTATATTTGTCAACAAATATCAAATTTCATGCAATAACCTTTTAGTGTTTAGTTTTTATGACCCTACAAAGTTTACAGCCCTCTTAAATTGAGGGGGTTAAAACTTTATATGGTCATAATTTTCAAAAAATAAGAGATTATTGCATGAAATTTGAAATTTGTTGATGAATATAAACTTAGATAAAAAGACTAAAGAAATTATTTTATCAACTTGTCGCTCCTGCGTTAATGGCTTAAAAATTGTTTTTTTTTTTTGTCCCCAAGCTCTAATCACCGCAGTTCTTTGCAAAACATTCTTATTTGACATAAGCATGAACATACAAAAGTTTGAAGTTTGCACAATGCCTGTAAGTGTCAAAACTCAAACATCTAAAAATCCAGTGTGCACAACTGATTACTGAAAAGCTATAATCTATTTGTCAGATACATTACAACATTAAAAAAAAAATCATTTCAATTGATAACCTGTTATAAATGGTAAAAATATTTTTTATGATTTAATCTGTTTCAAATACGTTAAAACGACAATTCTGATGGTACAATCTGTTTAAAATCTGTTTCAAATACGTTAAAACGACAATTCTGATGGTACAATCTGTTTAAATCAGATAAATCAGCATTACCATTTTGTGGCCAATATTAACAGAATTAGAGCAATGTTATACCGATATTGTTTTCCAGCATAGTCTACCAATATTAGGAGTATATTACAGCGAAAATAAACAAAGGAAATACTGATTTATCTGATATGAGCAGATTGTATTATCAGATCAAGTGGTTTGGTTTTAACAATATAGTATATTGTTTAACGATGTTTGTGTTTTATTAGAATGCCAATTTTAGCAAGATACTGGGTTTTTTGGCAAATATTAACCCAATACTGGACTAATCACACTAATATTGCTTGCTACATAGGTAGTTGTGAAACTTTGTTTTAATTATTCCATGGTGTCATATTTAACCAAGTGCATTTTTGTTTTAAGAGACGATGAACTTATGAGAATTAGGAAAAATGTGAACAAAAAAATTCAAGAAATAGAATCAGAAATTCAAGTAAGAGTTTTTCTAAATTTTATTAAAATGGAAATTATAATTTGAAATGTTTTTATTTTAGAATTTAAAAAGTTTAGGGTTTTAGTCTTTAAACAGTCTTGTAATCAATTTACTGTAGTTGATATATAACATCTTTTGATATTAAGTCTACCTCATGTGAATGTAGATATGATATCAAGTCTAACTTGAGTTAATATAGGTATTTGTTATATGGTTGTGTCATAAATAACATTAGTGCAAACATTTGTTGCATAGTTTTATCAAATTATGAAATAAAATGACCATTGGTTAAATATAGCTGTGGCACTTGTTAATGCTATAAATAACATATTAATGGAAGAAAAAAAGATAGGTGAGGTAAAGTGTGCACATTTCTATTTTCATGATCTATGAAACTATGTATTATAGTTTCATAGATCATGAAAATACTATGTATACCTTAACATTAAGTATTTGTGTAGCTTAACATGTTAGTGTTAAGTATCAATGTGTAACATGTTCACATTGTTACACATGTATCAATGTGTAACATGTTCACATTGTTACACATGTATCAATGTGTAACATGTTACACATTGATGCTTAGTGTTGAGCTACTCCTGGATTACATTTTGATAGCAGAAAAAATAATACAAAAATGTTAAAAAAAATTTAATGGTAGATATATCTCTTGTCTTGTAATGGTAGATATTTCTCATGTCTTGTAAAGGAGGAATATTATTCTATAGTTATTGAACCAGGTAGTCAATATATGTTTCACTTTTTTCAAGCAAATACTCATCATAAAAAATATGCCGAGATAATTGCAGACTACCTAGTTAATTGGCTGATGGAAAGAAGTTTATACAAAAAATTAAAAGCCATAGGAGAAAACATCATATATGTAAATACCGGGTGGGAAGGAGGTGTGATGCAATAAGTGAAAAGAAAACTGAGGAGATAAGTGTAGATTGTGTGTGATCTTCACACTGATGAGTTTAGGCACTTAATTAAATGCTTGGATGGCTCAACAAAGTGTAAAAAAAAGTGATTTGGAACACTTTAGAAAAATCTTGAATACAGCAACAAATCTTAAAATTAATCCTAGTTTTGCAAAGGTCGACTTTGGCTCACCATTAGATATTCTTATCAAATGTTTAAATCCTGTTCAAAGCAAATTTGTTTACTAAGTAACCAAAGCTGTATAGTCTGGTAATTTACCTCACCAGTTAGCTATGGTAGAAATAGGACTTATTTACCATAGCAGATGACACAATTCCACTAACGTTTTACAGAATATGTTTTTTTCTGCCAGGCTGTTAATGGTATCAAGGTATTAACCTTCAAATTTTTACATGGGTTGTTGAATTTATTATAGTTGTTTATGTTTCAAATGGTTTCAACATAAAAATCAAATGTTGGGTTAAAAATTCAAGCATTTTCCTTTATATCAATTGCAACTCCTAACTGAACATATACTATTTGCGACTTGTTAGTAATTAATATCAACTAGCTGTCCGGACCTGTAAAATACAGGTCTTGGTAAGTCTATTCAACACCCACTTTTTTTATACTTATTAACTTATTTAAATCTTTAACATAGATGACAGTTGTGTAACAAATTTAAGGCTATAATAAAGTATAACTTTCTCGTTAACATAATATTTATTTAAAGAGCAAAAGAGGACACAGAAATGGGTCACGAAAAATAGTTATCTTAAATATGTTAGCTCTATCTGTTTGATATTCTTAAAGGGTTACCAAACTGAGGAAACAAGTTGTATTCATATTAAAGAAAATGATTAAAAAAAACATTTAGGCTTTATTTTTATGATTAAAACTATATAATGAATGCACACCATTAAATTTAAAATTCACGTTTTAGTCGAAGCTCACTGTCTCCATTTTTTTTTGTTCTCGGAATCTGTATAATGTTAGCTGCAATCTGCAGACTTGAGAATTTATTAAACCTTTAGAACAAACAAATTATATGTGTCTAGAAAAAAAATTTATGTACAAAAAAAGATAAATTGTAAAGCTTACTCGAAAGCCGCTACCAGTGGTTTTCGGTAGTGAAAGAGTTAAACTATAACTAAATGTAAATTAAACATAAAACAAACAACTCTATTAAACCATATGAACTAAATATAAAACGAGAAACCGCATCATACTGTCTTTATTTTTTCTCTGCCTGCGAACTCTGATAATCACAAAATATGTATAATTGTGTCATGATTTTGGCTTGCTTTTAAAACAAAGTAATAATAAAGCAATAAAAAAAATCATGAAAAGATATACATAAATATAAAAAGATATATATATAAATATATATTTGTATAATTTTTTGATAAATCACAAATATTTTTTGTGATTTAATAATAAATTATACAAATATTTGATTTTCTGATTGTTGTAGATTAAAAATTACTTATATCTTTAAAAAAAACAACAACAAAAAAACGCTATCCTAAAAAGATATTGTGGTGATGTCTTATACCGAAACTGTTATGAATTGAACACGCGTGGAATAAATTATCAAGTGTGCAGATTGCGACTAACATTATACAGACCCCAAAAACCAAAAAAAAATTGATAAGGCAAGCTTCGACTAAAACAATCATTTTAGTTTTGTTTTTATGCATTCATTATTAAGTTTCAATCAAAAAAATTTAGCCCAAATCAAAAAAATTAGCCCAAATGTTTTTTTTAAACATTTTCTTTAATATAAACACAACTTGTCTTGGAAGTTGGAGATTCCTTTAAAGGAACTTTTCTGTAACAAACTTTTAAAAAAATCTTCCAAATAAGCTGATTTTAATACCGATTTTGGCAATGAAATTATTATTATAGCTGTTGTTTGTGTATAAAAATTGGTATTTAATGCAAACAGAAGTTGTCTGGATTGTAATCACTAAAGGTGATAAAAGTATAAGTGGTTTCCATTTATATATAAAAATATAATGGAAATATAAAAAACAAAGTAAAAATGGCCAATATATCCATACAAAGTAATAATTTCAAAGAAAAAAATATATACAATTTGAGATACAAAAAACATATTTTTCTTGAGATGAAATAAAACTTTTAATACACAAAAATAAAATTACAAAAAATTTTTATACTTTACAAAGAGCTGTTTGGACTGGTATGATACGGGTCATGGTGTTCCACTAATTCTAAACTTGTTCTTTTTTTTTTTCTCTTTACTTCAATAAAATTTAGTTTATGGCAGAAAATAAATTGATTTAAAATTCTTGGCTTTTGGTTCACAATTAACTATACTAATTTATTTCAATATTTTTTACATAACAAAAGTATCTTTAACAGAGTTTTTTTTTTTTTTTTGTTATTTACCTTCTCAAGGCCGAGAAGGCCACTACAGATGAGGAGGTTACTTAATAGTGGTTATAACCCTCTCTCAACTCTATAACTCTAAAACATGAACCCTGACAAACAAGGCCGCTGCACGGAGAAACAAGTTGAGCGCGGTACTACCAGGGGCAGGGTGGGGATCAAACTCGGAACCTCTCGCTTATAAAGCGAGTGTTTTACTACTACACCACTACCGCATATTACAGATGACAGTTGTGTAAGATTTCTTTCAGTATTTTTGGAAACTTAAAGCTGTAATAAAATTTTATAAATTAAATATTTTTTAGTCCTCTCATTATTTTAAGAGGAAATTTATTTAAAAATGAAATTTATTTAAAAAGGAAAATAAAACACAGAAAACGGGTTACAGATCCTAGTTATGTCAAATAAACTTTTCTGCAATAAACTCTCGAAAAATTCTTTTAATTAAGCTGTTTTAAATACCAATTTTTGTGAACTATTAATTTATTATAGCTATTATTTGTATCAAATATTGGAAAAAAACAACTTAATGAGAATGGAACTATCTAGATTGGTAATCACTAGGAAGATAAAAGTATAAAAGGTTTACATTCATATATAAAAATATAACAGGAATATTAAAAAATGCAATTGCACTCTATTCCTGACCATAAAAATTATATTAGTTGTGACAACTTGGCCACAGCTTTTTAGATGTTTTGAGAACATTCAAATTTATGTATGTTTCCATAAATGTCCAAAAATGTTATGACATGCTAAAACAATTAAACTTATAAATAACATTTCGTAATAAAAAATTAAGCGACGTTATACTTCTATTGATCATTATTAAAAAAAGAAAATGTTTAATTTAATTTTTTAAATTATATAAAGTTAAGTAAGTTTAATTAAAATTTATATAAATAATTATATATATATATATATATATATATATATATATATATATATATATATATATATATGTATATATATATATGTATGTATATATATATATATATATATATATTTATATATATATATGTGTGTGTGTGTGTGTGTGTGTGTGTGTGTGTGTGTGTGTGTGTGTGTGTGTCTATATATATATATATATATATATATATATATATATATATATATATATATATATATATATATATATATATATATATATATATATATATATATATATATATATATATGTATTTATATATAAAAAAAATTAATGAAAATTGACTATTAAAATATTAACAGCTGATGATTGCCTTCAGGCATGAAACTTTAAGTCCTGCTAATCAGTTGTTTTTATTCATCTAAATAAAATATAATTATATATATATATATATATATATATATATATATATATATATATATATATATATATATATATATCTATATATATATATCTATATATATATATCTATATATATATATATATATATATATATATATATATATATATATATATATATATATATATATATATATATATATATATATATATATATATATATATATATATATATATATATATATATATATATATATATATATCTATATATATATATATATATATATAGATATATATATATATATATATATATATATATATATATATATATATATATATATATATATATATATATATATATATATATATATATATATATATATATATATATATATATTTATATATATATATAAATACATACATTAGGGGCTATTCTAGAACATTTTCGACAGCGTTGACTGTATTTGGGTGTTGATTTGGGCGCCGCCCAAATTAAAATTTGAGGCCCTTTTTTATTTTTTTTTATGGCAAATATTGTTATTTTTGAGAAAAAACCGCTGATTTTTCGCTAAAATTGTTGGAACGAGGGGGTACTGCCGTCCAAATTTTTATCCTAGAATAGGCCCTGCACATATATATATCAATATAGATTATTTTTTTATATGTAATTTTTAAATATAAATCTTTTAAAAATACTTGTACAATTGATTTTGTAAAAACAAGACTTTCAAGAACAACTGCGTTTTCAATAAAATTATTAAAAAAAAAATAACTAAACATACATATATACATAGTGAATTACAAGTAGATAAACACTGCGCCAGAGGGTCCGCATACATTAACATAAACATTCTTTTATATAAAGTGACAAAATGGTGAAGCAGCAGCAGTGTGCTGAGGTCCATACAGAACACAAACATACAAATATATTAAAAAGCTCACTCACTAAATATCATCATCGGTATTGTGAAACAGTTCCGCTTCCTCTTCATAAATATTTTTTACCTTTTTAGTTTAACCATAAAAGTTTGCTTTCTCAAAATTTGATACAATAAAAACGTGCTTCTAGTTTGCAAAAGACAAAATAAAATCATTATTTACTTAAAATGTAATATGCCCTTTATATAATAATTTAAAATATATATTACAATTTATAAACCGATGGAATAAAGTAAAATATAGAGTTAATAACTGTATACATAGTCTGTAATTTGGATAATGATCATTATAGACTGCTGTTTCAAGGCTCTTTTAAATATTTTAAACTTTGCAAACTACGCAAAGCATGAAATGGTTATAAAAAAGTATTTATTATATACCGTTTGTTTTATTAGAATCTTGTTGAAATAAAACATAAATACTTAAATAAAGAATTATATTATACTTTTTGATAAATTTAAGAACATTTGTTTCTTTCTAAACAATCATTAACAGTAAGTTGTTACTTTTTATAAAAGTGTCACTAAATTAAAAAAAAATATATGAGAGAAATTTAGAAATAATTTATTCTAAAGGTAATTTATTTTGTTTCAGTTAAGTTTTTTTCTTCATTAAAAATTCGTTTCTTTTTTTAGTTCATTTTTTTAGTAATTGTCTCTGTCTAAGTAAATTTTTTTTTTTTTGCGTTTTTTGAAATAATTTCAAAACAGCTAAGAAGCCATGGCCATGTTACCGCAACTAAATATTAAATGCACCCGTTTCCCAACCAAGAATTGGACATGAAAATAAAACAAAAATTGTTGAAAATACTTATTACACAATAATGTATTATGTACTCTGTTAATTTATTTGAAAACTCAAAAATGTGGCTAAGTAGATAACAAATAAGAAACTTACTTTGAGAGATGTTTTTTTTTGTGTGTTTTTGTGAAAGTTTGAAGATTTATTGTTGCAAGTTTAGATTATAAACTCTTTTTTAAAAAAACAACGCTAAAAATAATCAAAGATAAACATTTACAGTTATATATAAAAATTGAAACCTTGGCTTTTAGTGAAGGAAGCAACCCAATAATCATTTTTAACAATAAGCACCAACATAAAGGTAAGCCAAGTCGTCTAACGACATAACTCATAATGCATCAACTTTAAAAAAAATTCGATAAAACAACCAGGTTTTTTATATTATAAAAGCAAACAAGTTTTCCTTAATTTTTAAAAACTTTTAAAAAATAAGCTATTTAATGATCTTGTTCTTGAACATGCAACATAGAGTTGACTGTGTGAGAAGCAAGAGTTTTTAATATAAACACCAATTTTATAAAAAGTTTGACTTTGTTCAAAAGTTTAATCTTGTTCAAAAGTTTGACCTCGGAAAAGAGCATAGTCTTCGAGTACTTAAAAATAAAAAACACAAATTAATATACTTTAAATACAATTGACAAATAGCTTGAATTTTGATATTATCAAAATGCATGGTTTAGATAAATTATCTGAATTTTGAAGTTACTTTACTAATTTAAAAATAACATAAGGTTTATCTATTACTACAGAGTTTTAATTCGTCAATTTATTATCTAATGAAGGTTTTAGATCTTACAACTGATTAAGCAGATATTAACTGATTATAATAGAGATTTAAGCATATCTTATTGCCAGATCAAAAATATAAAGGGAAATATTATAAGGCTAAGCGTGCTAAATCCTCTTTAAAAAACTCTGTGTCACACATGTAAGAATGGGTAATGGAAGCAATGAATTGATCAATAATTATAAGCGATTATAATTTACACATAATTGTAAAAATATATTCAAATAAAACAATACCACTTTATAAAAAAAACTATTAGTTTTAAACTGCGTAAAAATAAATTATTGGAAAAGTTGAATATTTATTGTAGTTATTTCAAGACACATTGGTAGAAATTTAAAAAATATGTAATTTGAATTATTTTTCAATTCTACAATTTAGGTTGAACTTCAGGAGAAATCAAAGTATTTGCAAAAGACAGAAAAGAAAGCAAAATCATCTCTGTCTCAAAGGCAGAGAGTCCTTTTACATCAAAAACAATTTTCATCAACTGAAAATAAAACTGTTACATCACACGGAGCTAAGCATTTACATTCAAATGTTTTTACAAGCGCAGTTTCAAATTCAAAATTTAAAAAGACTACCGAAAAAAATTCAATGTCGAAATTTTCATCAAAAAAAGTGTTTGATCAGTTTATTACACAGCATTTACTTGGAAATCAGCCACAAAGAGTGCATTTACGATCACCATCAAAATCACCAGTAAAAGTTCAGCAAGGAGGTGTTCTAAAGTTGGCTAATAATGTTATCAATGATTCCATTCCAATTAAAATATCTTGTAACAAAGAAAACTTTCATCCTCAGTTAAACTTATCATTAAATCCAGCATTTCATAATTGTCTTATTAATGATGATGTCCTTGGCACAGCTATACCTTTAGCTAGACCAAATCAAGATCCTAAGTGCAGACTTTCATTATTTTATGAACATCACAGTGATGAAAAAAGTTAGTATTTTCATTTGAAATTTGTTTATATATATTTATATTTGATATATATATATATATATATTGTATATTGTATATATATATATATATATATACATATATATATATATATATATATATATATATATATATATATATATATATATATATATATATATTATATATATATATATATATATAATATATATATATATATATATATTATATATATATATATATATATATACATATATATATATATATATATATATATATATATATATATATATATATATATATATATATATATATATATAATATATATATATATAAATTATATATATATTATATATATATATATATATATATATATATATATATATATATATATATATATATAAATTATATATATATATATATTATATATATATATATATATACATATATTATATATATATATATATTATATATATATATATATATATATATATATATATATATATATATATATATATATATATATATATATATATATATATATATATATATATATATATATATATAATATATATATATAATATATATATAAAATCCAAAGACGATGCTCGTCTAAAGAATTTTTTCATGACGTAATAAATGACACTTGTTATATATATATTCTTGTAAAATTAATGTTAACATTAATATTCTTGTCACATTAACGTTTAATAAGCAATATTTTTAATGAAAAAACAGATAGCTCGTGCAAAAACTAAAAGCTCTTGTAAGAAGATGTTTAGAGGAGCAGCTCGCATGGCTCTCCGTGTTTATTTTAGGAGAGCTTTTCTCTGCTCTTGCACTTATTTACTCCCGCCAAGACCTGTATATATATATATATATATATATATATTATATATATATATATATATATATATATATATATATATATATATATATATATTTATGTATATATATATATATATATATATATATATATATATATATATACAAATAGTATTGCGTACTAAGGTAAGCAATCTGACATCATACTGCTGCTGGGGGCTTCAGTACATACATCGACTGACAAATAGCCTGACTCGCAGTGGAGTGTTGCTACATCGACTGAGGGTTTGGGATGGGGAAGCAATCGTTTCATTCATCAATCTTCGTTTTTTCTTCTTCTTTTTCGAAAAAAACGGTATAGCTTAAGGTAAACAGAAAAAGCGAGCAAGTGTTTATCAAAACATGCTTTAGTAAGTGTTTATATATATATTAGTGTTAACGTTAATGTTACAAGAATATATATATAACAAGCCTCATTTATTGCGTTGTGAAAAAAATCTTTAGATGAGCATTTTCTTTAGGTTTTCACACTAGCTTTCTATTTATTTATTAACAACAACTTGTTTGATAAAAATTTTGACAAAGAGCCATAAAAGTTTTTACTGCTTATAAAAAATGTTTTTTATTTTCTTATTGTTTTAGAATGCAGGCATTTTAAGAATTATTACAACATATTAAAATTCTTAATAAAAGTGAATAATATATTAAAGTAATTAATATATAAAATTACATAAACATATTTTTAAAATTATATAAACATATTAAATTACATGTCATTACATAAAATATCAGTTAAATAATCTTATAATTTGTCAAAATAATTTATAAAAAATTTTGCCTAAAAAGCGTTGCAGTTTAATATGCAGGTTTTTTTTTTTTTTAAAATATAAAAATGACTGCAATTTTCATTTTAGTTACAAAGATAATTATAATTTTAAATAAAAAAATTATACTTTTGCGAGAGTTGTAAATTGCTTCTGTAAACCGAGGCCTGTATATGTATATATACTTAATATGTATCTAAGGATGCAGTTTCTAAATATATTTTGTGTAGTTTAATTCTTCAGAAAGAGTAGGAAAAGTGATTGCTGCCCCAAACCAAACCCTTAGTCAATGTAATAATACTTCTATGTATGTTCTACTTATATAGTCAGTCGATGTATGTGCTAAAGCCCCCATATCTACCTATTTTAGTATGACAACCTCATTATGTGTGTTTATATGAGGGTTTGGGTTTTGGCATGTAAAATCAAAATATGAAGTATATCTAGGAAATTAGTTCTTGAGCTCTGAAGAAATTCAAATTAAGTTTTTATATTACACCTGTAAAATAGGGCAAGTATGTATACACTATTTGCATAGGCAATGTATGCATACTTACCCTATTTCATTATTTAACAATCAAAATCGAATTATTTTTCTTTTTAGAAATCAAAACTAATGATTTAAAAAAGGTGAAAGGACCAAATGTAGCTGTTATTAACATGAGATCGGATTCATTTTCGGAAATTGAGCCGTTATCAAATGTTAAGTCACGCTTGAAGGCTAAAGTTAGACAAAAAATAAGAAATAAACTGAAAATAAGTGTGCAGGTAGTATATAAGAGTAGAAATTAATATATATATATATATATATATATATATATATATATATATATATATATATATATATATATATATATACACATTAGTATTGAAGTGGAGTATAAACTTTATTCATACCATATTACTTTATATGGATTAGGGTGAAAAAGATAGGAAAACGTAAAAAAAGAATTTTTAATTTCTCTTTGCTGTGATCAATTTCTTTAAGGAAAAGTTTAACACATTTAACAGATTGTTTATTAAGAAGGTAACAGGTTATTTGTGTGAAAAAAGGAAGAATGGGTTTGTTAAAAAGAAAGAGTTTTTATAGTTTCAACAATTAAGTATGATACGATAGCTTGATGATTAGGTAATATATAGATACTAAAGCCAAGAAAGTTTAACTTTTTAAAGTCAATGACATCTTTAAAATAAATAAAGTAGTTACACGATTAAAGCATTTTGACTTATTAACCTCTGATCTTTTTGATTTGACAAGCTAAAACATTTTTAACCTTTTTTAACCACTAAGCCTCATTTTTATGGACCGATCTTTAATCTGATCTTAAATCTCCAACAAAACTCAGTTATTCAAACAACTCACAATATTCACTCTCAGACAAAGCATTTTATAAATGAAGTTGGACCTGCTTTATCTGCTAAGCTTGAGCCACTCTTTCTTTTTTCTACAAATACTATCATTGTTTTAACTCAAATGAGCTATCATCTCTAGTTAGATCAACCAAAACTCATTGTCACATGGCTTGTCAATCAGCAAAGTTGCACCCTTTTACTGTACATGTCTCTTTATGCTACAAATTATTATTTTTTAATTCATCTAGTTTTTTCCTTGCACATCAGCAAAACCTCAAACCTCTAATCCATCTTCATGTTTTCCTGACTTGTACAACCTACAACTTAATAAGTCTTCAAATAACTGTTTTCTTTAACCCTATCCTATGTTTTCTAGTAACTTATAACTTAATAAAGGTTGCTTGCAGTCTTGTTTGAAGTGAGTTAATTTAATATATATATATATATATATATATATATATATATATATATATATATATATATATATATATATATATATATATATATATATAAAATTATATATATATATATATATATATATATATATATATATATATATATATATATATATATATATATATATATATATATATATATATATATATATATATATATATATATATATATATATATATATATATATATATATATATATATTAAACTAACTCACTCAAGTATTATATAAATAGTAACTTATGCATAAATTTATAATACATAAAATATATTAAGTTTTTTCATAGCCCTGACTGCAAAAAAATCAAAACCTGCTAAATCTTATATTTTTGCCAGGGTCGATGTCAGGTTTGTAAAAAGTCCTAATGTAATGGTTGAGTTAATTTACATCAAGATGTCCCTATTCATTTTTTTTTTTTTAATTACAACTAGAATTTACCAAACATCGATATTGACAGCAATCTCTTCTCTTCTTCTTCTTCTACAAGTAATATAACATGCATCACAAATAATCAAGTATGTTTTTTAAACTTTTCTTATTAAACATATTTTTTTTATTGTTTAAGGTTTGGATTTTTATTTTTATTATTTTTTTCTGTCTAGATATATTTATTATTTTTAGTCAAAGGATTCAAATAATGAAAATAAAGAATATGATATCAAAGATGATCTTTCTTATCACTTTCAAGCATATGATCATATGAAAGATAATACAAAAGAAAAAGTTTGTTTAATTCTTTTTTACTTTTGGATTTATAAAGTTTGAATACCTTTTCCTTATTAGAATAACTTAATGTTTCTAATTGCAATTGGTTAAGACTTCCATTATATGTCATTTAAAGAATGGGAATACTAACTCCCAGGACATGTTGTGCTCATATTAAAGAAAATGTTGAAAAAAAGTCCTTGAGCTAAATTTGTTTGATTAAAACTAAATAATAAATGTATACTGATAAAAACTAAACTTTTTATTGATATACATTTATTATTTAGTTTAAATCAAATAATTTAGCTCAAACCGTTTTTTAAACATTTTTTAAATATGAACACAACATGTGTTGAAGTTGTTAGTCCCTTATATGTTATTATGTGTGTCTATTTGCAGTTAATTTTTATTTCCACTTTAGATAGTTGATGATGAAAGTGAAAAGTTTTTAAACGATGATGGTTTTCTTATATCTGGTTGTCAACAAGATAAACCTAAAATGGAAAATGGTCCAGCTTTTCCTCCAACACATGTTCAAAATCAAACATTGTCTAACATTCCAACTTTATCATCTAATCAATTAAAAATGCATGCCCAAGAATGGTACATTAATTACATTTTTAGTATATTATTTATATTATATATTATTTATATTTAATTATTATTTATTATTTATATATAATTATTATTTATTGTTTATATATATACATATATACAGGCTTGGACAGGAATGGTGTGCGATCGAGCGCTATTGCTGACCACGCAAATGATTTTATTTTTTGACAACTTGACCACGATTGTTTATATGTTTTGATGATTTAAAAATTTCAGAAATGCTCTGAATGTAGAAACGCTGAGCTAAACTTAAACTAGGAAAAAAACTAAAAAAAAAACTAACGAAAAATAAATTCATAACGAAAAAGAAATTATAAAAGCACTAAAATCAAAATAAAAACTTAAACTCGAAGCGAAACTTTTTGTTACGTTTTTAATTACGTATGAAATAAACGTTATCTTTTAAAACGGTATTTAAGTTATGCAAAACGTTTTTAAATTAAGTAATAAATTACTACTAATGATTGGTTTAATAAATGAACAAATTTTAATAAATTTATTAAAAAGTGTTGTATATAATTCTTTTAAATTGTATAAACATTTATTTTTACAAAAAAGTTGCAAAAAAAAATTTTTTTTTTAAATATAACGTAGTCTTTTTAAAATAGTAATTTTTACAAAATTCATGCTCTAATTAAGTATATTATGCTATTCATGTTCATTATTTACTTAGAGCATATTCATGCTCTAAGTAAGTCTTATTAAAAAAAAAAAGGTTTCAACTTTTTTTATTCGTAATAATAGAAAAATAAAAAAATAAAATGCGCTTGCGATTTAAATAAAATATTTTAAAAAGTTTAAAGAAATTAATCATATAAACATTACAAAATGCTTTAAAACTTTTTAATTAATCAACAAAATACATGCTTATAAGTAAATAAAGTTATTTTATATTCTCGAGTAATTTGCATAAAATGTGTAAAAGCTAGTAGTCACAAAGGCTTTTGAACTTATTCACAAATTAAAGTAACTTAAAAAAATTCTTTCTAAAAATAATGGTTTAAAAATCTTTTGAGAAGACATGAAAAAATAGTTTCAAACTTATCATAAAAAATACATGCCTACATAAAAAAAACTTATATGTAACGTTATTTATTAATTTACACCAGCGTTTATGTAAACAATAACTATAATTAATTTTATGGTTTTATTTAAAGCCTTTTCTTTTCGTAAAATAAATAACTTTAGAAAAGATCAATGATTAAAAGATATTTATAACGTAACACTTTTTTTTATTGCATTCAAATTGTTAAAACATCAAAATAGCCGTGGTCAAATTGTAAAGAAATAAAAATATTAGCGTGGTCACTTACAGAGTGCGATCGCACGCCATTCCTGTCCAAGCCTGATATATATATATATATATATATATATATATGTATATATATATGTATATATAGTTTTACTAATATTATATATATATATATATATATATATATATATATATATATATATATATATATATATATATATATATATATAATATTATATATATTATATATATATATATATATATATATATATATATATATATATATATATATATATATATATTATATATATATATATATTATATATATATTATATATATATATATATATATATATATATATATATATATAAATATATTTATTTGTTTATTTATACATACATACATAATGTAGTTTTACGAATATATATTTTTTGAAGAAACTTTTAAAAATTTTGTTTTTTTTATTCTGAATGATTTTTATCTATAAATTTAAAAGAAATCTATTATAAATCAAATTTTTGCTTGATTTTCATATTTGTTATTCTTAAAAAATAGCACACACACACACAAAATAATTTACAAAAAACATTATAAATGTATATATATTTAGAATAAAATTATTGAAACCAAGATCTATAAACATTTAAAAAATGATTTACTGATCTGCAATTAAAAAGGAATTCAGGTGGCATGGTTTTTTTAACTTGCATTTGCTTTTGTTGCTTTTCAAGGTTTAGGTTTCCTTTCTTTTGTTGTGCTTGCTATTTTCTCTCTTCTGATTCTATTCTTTACCTAATAATTTTTTTATTTTTTTAAACTCTATTGTTCTCATGCTGAATAAAATAAAAAATGATAAAAAGTACAAACATGTTTTATGTGGAAAAAAAAAGAAAAGAAATATTATTATTTTTGTTTATTTGCACCATTTTGTTTTTTTAACTTGCCCAATATTTTATTACATTTTGTATTCAAAAATTTCCTTAAAGGTTAGAGCATGAGTTGCTTTCTCGAATTGTTCAATTGAATGATAAAGGTATTGATCCAACACTAAAAGAAGTTGCTGATTCAATCAAAGTACAAAGTGTCTTTAATGAGGAGGAAGATAATGAAAACCCAAGAGATTGGATAGGTAAGATCTTTAAAATCAAAAAAAAAAATTTAACTTTGATATAATTCAATAAATACTGAAATCCAATCTTTTTGTTACAAGTTTTGGTGAATGGATTTCTAAAGTTTATTATGTATTAAAAATTTAAGAGTTTAAGTATCATGTATCAATAATTTGAAAGTTTATCATCTATTAATAATTTAAACCTTATCATGTATTAATAATTAGAAAGTTTATCATATATTATTAATTTGAATGTTTATCATGTATTAATAATTGGAAATAAGATCTAAATGACAGTCTTCAAACACAAGCATTTATACTAAAGATATTATCTATAATGAACAAGGTTTTTCAAGGAATGATTTAGTTTCATTGTTATATGGTTATCTAAAAATGTAATGGTTTGTTATTTGGTTACCTAAAAGCATAATAGCTTATTACATGATCACCTATAAACATAATACTTCGTTACTTGGTTACCTAAAAACATCATAGTTTTTAACATGGTTACCTAAATGCATAAGTTTGTTATAAAAAAATAAATTTCCTAAAAAGTTTTTAAAAAATTTTTTTTTGTTTGTTGTTGAAACTTGAAATTAACTTTTAATAATAAAGTGATTTTTATTTTTGTCTCTGGAAAAGAAAGTATAAAGTAATAAAAAATCACTTATTAAATATTTCATTTTACACTGTGTTTCATCAATTAAGACTCATCAGAAAAATTTTCTGATGAGTCAGAAAATTTTTGGAGTGTGGATCCTGGACAGAAAAAATATATATACGGGAAGAAGTATTCTAAATACATTCAAAATTATTCCTGTATAAATATATTTTTTCTGTCCAGGATCCACACTCCTTATAAAAAAAAAAAAAGGAAAGGCCAGCGAGGGCAAGGAGCTTTTGACCTAAATTTGGGTCCATGCCTTATGCACCTGAAATAATGGTCCTTTATTTGTTTTGCAATATGCTTAAAATGCATTGTAACAATTCTTAAAAATTAAAAAAAAAATTATATGATAAAAGAATTAAAAATATTGCATATTAACACTACATATCAATTTACCTGTTACTGATGTTTTTTCTTAGCATTGTTAAAATCTGAAAGAAAAGACATTTATTGCAAAGACAATCAGTTGTAACACAAAATAGCAAAAAAATGATAGCTAAGAGTACAAACAAAGTTTGTAATTTGACCAGAAAATAAAATTATTCTTTCCTTGATTGTGAAAAACTAATTTCTTTTCAATGATCAACATTATAAATTTTAATTAATTAAAATATACTTAACTAAAACCATACATCATTGAAGTTTAATAAATTAAAACCATATTTTAACAGTAGACAAAGTAAACATATGATAGTTGGTAGTAACAAAAAAATAGAACTAAAGAATTAAAGTTACAGTTAAATTTAAAATGTTTGTAATATATAATATTTGCAGTTAAAAAATGAAAAATAAGTCAATCATCGTGTAAGGTAAAATTATAAAAACAAACAATAAAAAATTAAAAAAAAAAATTAAAAAAAGAATATAGTAAAATGTTTTTTTTTTTTATTAAAAAAATGATCTTTTTAATTAAAAACATTAATTTTTTCTTGAACAGATAGGGACACATCGATAAAGAACATACACAGTGAAAAATTGATTTTTAACTTCTTTTACATTGTAGTACTTATTAGATACCTTCTAATTCAGCGATAATTATTAATTACTGAAATTTTGATGATGTTTAGTGTAGAAACAAACTATATTTCAACAAAATTTATTTATAAACATAAGTCAATATTATTTATAAACATAAGTCAATATTAAAAAAAAAAATGTAACAAAATTAGAATTTTTTAAGTTTCTTTATTTACAAAAAATAATTTTACAAATAAGATTGATAAAAATATACATATTAAAATTAAAAAACATTCAATTACATCTTCTATTTGTAGATGTAGTTAAGTATTTATCCTGACCATCCTAACTCCTCCCACTTCATTTTCAGTAAGGGTAATCCCTTCCCCTCTAATGAAATGAGGGGAAATTTTTTCCCCTGTTCTGGGCCCACACTGTTTGCACTATAGTATGTGGGCCTTTATTAACATCTCCATAGCGAAAAAAATATACTTAACTAAAACCATACATCATTGAAGTTTAATAAATTAAAACCATATTTTAACAGTAGACAAAGTAAACATATGATAGTTGGTAGTAACAAAAAAATAGAACTAAAGAATTAAAGTTACAGTTAAATTTAAAATGTTTGTAATATATAATATTTGCAGTTAAAAAATGAAAAATAAGTCAATCATCGTGTAAGGTAAAATTATAAAAACAAACAATAAAAAATTAAAAAAAAAAATTAAAAAAAGAATATAGTAAAATGTTTTTTTTTTTTATTAAAAAAATGATCTTTTTAATTAAAAACATTAATTTTTTCTTGAACAGATAGGGACACATCGATAAAGAACATACACAGTGAAAAATTGATTTTTAACTTCTTTTACATTGTAGTACTTATTAGATACCTTCTAATTCAGCGATAATTATTAATTACTGAAATTTTGATGATGTTTAGTGTAGAAACAAACTATATTTCAACAAAATTTATTTATAAACATAAGTCAATATTATTTATAAACATAAGTCAATATTAAAAAAAAAAATGTAACAAAATTAGAATTTTTTAAGTTTCTTTATTTACAAAAAATAATTTTACAAATAAGATTGATAAAAATATACATATTAAAATTAAAAAACATTCAATTACATCTTCTATTTGTAGATGTAGTTAAGTATTTATCCTGACCATCCTAACTCCTCCCACTTCATTTTCAGTAAGGGTAATCCCTTCCCCTCTAATGAAATGAGGGGAAATTTTTTCCCCTGTTCTGGGCCCACACTGTTTGCACTATAGTATGTGGGCCTTTATTAACATCTCCATAGCGAACAAATGTTTCTTAAGTTAAACCTAAAAATAAAAAAAGTAGCAATTGAAATAACTTAATGATATTTTAGTTTCATAAATAACTGTAAAACCTAAAAATCATTTGTTTATCAGTTACAGACAAGGGAGGTGCAGCAGCAATTTTTTCTGGCATTGCTAGAACTGTATTAGCTATAATAAATATAAAAAAAATACAGGTAAACAAATTGAAAATTAAAAACAGTTGAGAGCAATCAAACCAATAGTAAATAATCTCATAAAGCACAATCAAATCAGAAAATATTAAATTTTTTCTAAATCAATTTTAATAATAGTCATTTCTGAAAAGAAAAACAGATATTAATGATGATAATGTAGAAATGAAAGATAAAATTAATAATTAAAAGTTACCAACATTATATTTAAATTTCACAATCAAACTTGATTTTGAGGATATTTATAAATATTCTACTATTATTTGTACTAACTTGTGATATTGAGTCTTTGTTCTAATATTTTTAGGATAATATATACTACTGTGATCAAAAAGTAAGGTGAATTTTTAATTTAAACTTCCCGCCTTATTCGAATCGTCCAATCTTTTTCATTTTTAAGTTGGTAGGAATGTCATTAACATTTGCGCCTAATTACATTTCAAACTCATAATTATTTTTTTTTTGTTTACGCTTGTTTCTGAAGTACCAAAAGTGCATTCGGCGATTTTCACGATGTCTAATTTTGTTGAGCAAAGAAGTGCTATTAAATTTTGTTTGCGGAATGATATTTCTGCTGCTGAAACGTATCGAATGTTGCAAAAGGCCTTCGGTGAAGAGACTATGTCTCAAAAAATTGTTTACAAGTGGTACAAAGACTTCAAAGAAGGCCGAGAACGTGTTGATGACTTGGAACGCTCCGGACGACCATCGACTACGATTGATGATCGCCACATCAACAAAATCAAAGAATTGGTGCTTGCAAATCGTCGGTTAACCATTCGAGACCTTGTTGACAGGGTTGGAATATCATTTGGGTTGGTGTAAGCGATTTTGAAGGATCATTTGGGCCTCAGAAGACCCAAATCATGTTTGGTGCCGAAATTTCTCAATTTCTTTGAAAAAGAGTGTCGCGTTAAAGCGTGTGAAGCAATGCTTTCTGACTATCAAGACGTCTACAAACAAATTATTACTGGCGATGAGACTTGGGTCTACGCATACGACCCTGAAACAACCGACCAATCGAGTGAATACCGTGAAAAAGGCGAGCTGAGACCGAAGCAACCACGTCAAAGTCGCTTAAAAATCAAGGTCATGTTGACTGTTTTCTTTGATTATTGTGGTGTCGTGCACTACGAACTCCTTCCAACTGGGCAAACTGTCAACAAAGAATATTATTTAAGCGTTATGCGACGTTTGCGTGAAGCTATTCGCAAAAAGAGACCGGAATTATGGGTCAATAACTCTTGGATTTTGCACCACGATAATGCGCCTTCGCACATAGCACTGGTTCTTCGTGAGTTTTTGGCCAAAAACTCTACCCATGTTGCTCCACAACCACCATATTTGCCCGACTTAGCACCGTGTGACTTCTGGCTGTTCCCAAAGCTCAAAAGGCCACTCCGGGGAAATCGTTTTGAGTCCATTGAAGAGATCCAACGTGAATCGGCACGCGCATTGAAGGCTATCCCTACCGAGGACTTTTCGGCATGCTTCGAAGACTGGAAAAAACGTTGGCAAAAGTGCATTGGGGCCGGGGGAGATTATTTTGAAAGGGACGATACAGATTTGGAAGAATAAATAAAGATTTTTCATTTTATAAAAAAATTCACCTTACTTTTTGATCACAGTAGTATATATATATATATATATATATATATATATATATATATATATATATATATATATATATATATATATATATATATATATATATATATATATATATATATATATATATATATATATATATATATATTACCGAAGAAAAAAAAAAACTTTTTCTATGTTACCTAATTTCCAACTTTTTTAATTTAATAAAATGTTTATGGTACCTGATGATTCTCTATGTGGCGATCATCAGCCATTGAAAAATTTTTCAATGGCTGATGATTACCGTATAAACATGAAACTTAAAGTACCATAGAAAAAGTTGTTTTTTCTTCGTTATATATATATATATATATATATATATATATATATATATATATATATATATATATATATATATATATATATATATATATATATATATATATATATATATATATATATATATATATATATATATATATATATATATAAAGAGAGAGAGAGAGAGAGAAAGAGAAACATCTGAACTTTAGGAGCTTTAAGATATCTTAGCTGTAGGAGTTTCGGTAACAATTGTTAAAATCATGATTAAAGTTAACTAAAATTGGAAATAAAGATTTAAATAAAATTTGTAAAGTTTATAAGATGTTGATAAAAAGAATAATCGACTGTCCATTTGAATTAATTAAAATATTAAAATTTAACTAATGATCAACAATCTTTTAATAAGCAAAAAATCTTTTATAATAAATAAGAAAATTATATAAAATTTTCATATCATTAAATGAAACTAAACTTTTTTTTTTGTAATTTCATTAAAAATATTGATTAAAAAATTGTAATTGCATTTAAAATATGATATACATAGATAGCTTTTTGTCAATAATATATAATTTTACCTTATTATTCAATTTTAATCATTTTGTTCAAAAATATTTGTTGAGTTAAAAACTAAAAAAAAAAGCAATGTGAATTTTTTAAGAAGCAAATTTAAAAGATTCTTTAAAAGTAAATTTAACTTTATAAAATCTAACCTGATTATATATATATATATATATATATATATATATTCATATATATATTTATATATATATATATATATATATATATATATATATATATATATATATATATATATATATATATATATATATATATATATATATATATATATATTCATATATATATATATTTATATATATATTTATTTATTTATACATACTACATAATCCTATTCTTTGAGCGAACTCAACTTAGTTGTAAAAAACTTGAAAAAAATGTAAACCTAAAAAAAAACATTACTATTTCCATAACTTGAAAATTACATGAGTTAGATATTTGCTTACACTTTAATTCGTATTTTTTTATCAAAAAGTGCAGAGAGACTTGGGTTTAATGGCTGCTATAGAAGAAGTGCAGAGAGACTTTGGTTTAATGGCTGCTATAGTAGAGTAGAAGTTACCTTCCGTAATCTCGGTTTAATTATTTTTAAAAATATTGTAAATTGCTATGCAACATTTTCGCTCATTTTTGATTATGTTTTGATGATGCAAATTTTTCTGAAGGTTTTTCGTTATTTGTATAGTTTTTTTACTTTTTTTTGAAAAATCTTTGTTTTTCTTGGTTTTGAACAAGATCTTGTCTCAGAAAATATTGTCTTGTATGGACTAAGAACCAAGACAAAAAAAAGAATTCTGAAAGTATAGAGTACTCACCATGTAACTTGCATAATATAGGAGAATGGCTCGTGTTACTACTGAAACAAGTTGTTACGCAACCTAAAGCAGTAATTTTATCTCATTGATTTGTTTCTTGCATAAACAGTAACTATCATTAGTTTACCATTGGTGCTTAAAAGAATATCAATGTGCTGAGACAAGTTGTTTTCATTTTAAAGAGAATAGGTGTAAAACATTATAATGATTTCAACATTTTTTATGTTTAAGTTATTCAGGGTTTTCAATGAATTAGAAAGTTGTTACACAAAAGCCATGAAAGGTTGCAAAACTGAATCAAATCCTGATACAGTTTTTTTTCTGCTGTTTGTTTTTTACTTGTTGTAGAAAACTTTTCAATCTTTACCACTTTTTCAGAGATTTTTTTTGCTTAACTTTAGAGAATATTATTGGACTAAAAGGTCTTCAAATGTTTGTGGAAGCTGGGGTTCCTATTGACAGTAATCTTGTAGATGAATTAATACGTAGTGTTTTGTTAGATATGTTAGTCGCTATGTATGGACATCCACCTCAGTTTATTACTGAGAATAGTAAAGTATGGTTATTTGTAATAATTTAAAATTAACTTTATAAATTCTTGTTAAAATTGTTTTTTGCTGGTGTTTTTTTTTTTCTTATTTTAATTTTTTTATTTGAAAATTTAGAATTTTCAAACCATTAATTCAATAAGCACCACACCAATTTCTACACCTATACATACTCCAACACCCACTAAATCACCGGTAGCTTCTACATTGACTGTTTTGGCAACTCCAGAAAAAAGCATTTCTGAATTATCCGAGCAGTTGATAGACAATATTGAATATTTTGAAGAACCTGTGTTTCCAGATAGTAAGTTTATTTAACATTTTATTTATAAATTGGTAAATGCTATTCAACCATTTTTAAACTTATATTCATAATATTTTCCTAAAATATAAGATTTTGCTGAACTCAATTTTCAGTAGAATGGGGATTTATTAATGACGATGTTTGTTTTTTTATAAATATAAATTTACCTCACCAAGGCCATGAAAGCACTCCAGTCAAGGAGGATACTTTAAATATGGTTACAACCCTTTCTTAACTCTGTAACTCAGAAACACAAGTCTTGACAAACAAGGCTGCTGTGAAAAGAAAAAAGTTAAGCGCGGTGCTACTAGGGATGTGGTAGGGATCCAAGTTGTTTTGATTTTGGTATCTTAGGTGACTTAGGTGATCTAAATCATACCTATATCAATAGTGAGTGTAACTTCATTCTATTGAATTTAAACTAAAAATAAATTCTTTTTTAGATTATATTTTGTTTTGTGTTATGATAAAATTTAAATCTTTTGACTTTTTATTAGTACTTGCTTCAATACTTTTTTGCATTTACAATCACCTCGATTTTTTAAACATTTATCTCAAAACATAAAAGGTTCCTGTTTAATTGCTTACGAAAACACATGACTTTATGAAACTGTCAAAAAATGTTTTAACGTTCAAAAATCAGCTGTTATGAAAAATGAGAAAAGTCCCAAGATTGAATGTATAAATTTTCTTTTTCTCCATAATACAATTTTTTATTGTAAAAAAAAAAAAAAAACTTGGGGGAGGGGGTAATATCACATAATTGAAATATCGTACGTCTAAATAATGTCAAATCTTTTTTTTTTTTTTTTTTTTTGTTAAATATATATGATTGTAGACTTGTAAACAATTTTAAACTGATTTTATTTAACATATATAATTATTTTTATGCATTATTTTTTTATTTACAGTTATTCAGTTTGGTTTATTGAGTTTTTTGTTAATTACTTCTGGTAATTTAGAGAAATTGAAAATCTTCAGTTAGAATTAGTTAGCATAATTAATTATGATATGTAATTCAAACTAAAACAAATATCGCCACTATCAAAGATTTTGTTGACACAACTGAATTAGATTTTGAGCCATAAGAATTTCAGCTTTCTGAAAAAAAAGTTGAAGGAGCTACATCTACTAGTAACAACTTAACAGAAACACTCCACGTCATCCCTTTTCAGAATAAAAAGATATCTAATCTCAGAAATGGAAAAAAAAAAAGATTCAAGGTACAGCATACAAAATAGTTCCCTGAAGCCGTTTCCCCAGATTAGAGTAAAGATTTAATCGCAAATGTTTTAAATAAATCGTGGTACAACCCTTTCTCAACTCTTTAATTCCGAAACACGAACCTTGACAAGCAAGATCGCTGCGCAGAGAAATTAAGTTTAGGCAAATCCTTAGTTAAACTGAAAAGATAAGCATCAGATGAATTAGTTGACGTGGATATATTTTATGATACAATTTTTGAAGAAGATATCTTTGATTATAAAAAACATTTAATGCGTGTCTACTGAAAAAACCCAAAGTTTTTTGCTTTTAAAAGTTTTGATGAAAAATCTAGATTTTGCTTGAAAGACCATTTTCAAAAAGTTCTACTATTCTGAAATTATAAATGAGGTAATTTATTTTCATTTAGGTGAAAAATAAGTATCTTTCAAACATTTAATCATTTTCATTGTGTTACTAAAATATTTTAAATGAATGATTACTTTTGTCAAAAGAAAATCCAATTTTTCAAATATTTTCCAAATTATTTTTTACGAAAAATCATTACTCTAATTAAGTTTTCAGTGATGATTACATGGTTAACTGTATGAAGTATAGTTATAGAGTCAAGAATCATTATAAGTCGAAAGCTTTGCCTGATATTAAAGCCTGATATTATAAAGTACAAAGACAGAGAAATCATTTGTAAAATTCTGCTACCATTTCTTTTAAAACAACACGGAGACTTAAGGCTTGCAGAAATAAAAGTTTGAAAATGCCCAAAATAAATTTTTAGCAACAATGCATTAAAATAAAAAGCATAAGGATATTTAAATCCATTTATGACTTAAATCAATGGCGTAGATAGAATTTTTTAATGATTCAGAAATGACACTTCTAAGCCTTATGCATACTCCAAACTTAAGTATGTTAATGCATATGTAAATTGTTTTGCAAAAAATTGCAGCGATTGGAGCCTGGAAACCAAAGTAGTAGTATATAGTTGTGCCATCAGCAAATAGAGCCAATTTAGATGTAAAGTTTTGAAAGTATTTCATTAACATAAACTTAGGGCTAAAGATGAAACTTGCAGTACCCCATAAGTTATTGGAAAAGGCGAACAAAAAATGAGAAAAATAATAAACAAAGAGAAAGGTGATTGAGTGAAGAGATGCTAAACAGAAGCACATAAAAGAATGATCAGAGGGTTCAAACCTGATTTTACAACAAATAGGTAATTTGGTATGTAAGTATATGCCCAGGCCAAGCATGTTACTATTGGAGTCTTTGCAATGCCTAGCCATCTTAGTCTCATAAAGAGCAAGTAAGTCTGGTAAGTTTTGTAATGAATGTATGTATAAGATAGATTGAAAGAATTAAGTGGTATGGTGATGGTTTTTTTTTTATAATTTTTTTTTTTAGTTACTTTTATCATATTTTAAGTTATCAGAGAACTTGACTTGATCATAGACAGAGCATAGCACCCTGAACAATGAGCTATGTAGTTGCTTTAGTCCCGCAAAAATACCTAAAGTTGTAAGCAAGAGCTTCATATGCAACTTAGATAATGCACACCAAAAGCACTTGCAGCAATACCCTCCATATGCATAGCACTGTTAATATCATAATATTTTACTATTGTTAGTGGAATCAGTTTCTATGAAAACTATCACAGAGTTTAGGAGATTATATCTATTAAACTGAGTTTTAGAGCTGTACTCTTTTTAGGAAATAACAAGATAAGTTGCATAGTCACTATCAAGGAGGCACAAGGAAAAATCCATGAGAAGAGTTAAAAAGTCCATTGTTCATCATCCTAGGCAGGATATGGGCCAGGTTGTACTGGATTACATGATACCAGTAGCAAGGTCATCGTAATAATCCTGACCTGAATTTATTTTTACATGATCGAGGATCCTAGTTTCTTTTCACATGGTTGAAGAAAGTTTTTTTAAAAGATGGTTTTTAAAAGATTGTCAAAAATTTTGTAATCAGATTGTCATAATTTGTATACAGATGGTTATAAATTTTGTATACAGGTGGTCAAAAATTTTGTATACAGATGGTCAAAAATTTGGATATAGATAGTCACATATTTTTTATACAAATGGTCAAAAATTTACTGGAGCATTTCAACTTGAATTCTAACTGACCTTTACTCATAGCTAAATCTGGAATTTTTAGCCTTTTAAAGTATAAATTTGGTTTTAGAATTGTTAACAATATAATGTTAGCAGTTATAATTGGTAATAGTGCAATTCCACTTTGCATGTGATTGTAGATTACAATTGCTGTGGAATTCCACAGAACTTGTATGTGATGGTTGTTTACAATTGAAAACCTCGGTGCAAAAATGATGTAATTCCACTTTTTATCAATTTTTAGGTTTTAATGGATTATGAGTATATAAAAGAAGTTCCATCAGTTAGTATAAAAAAATGACATAGATTAAAGCACTTCTGGTATAATTAATCACATGGTTTGGTAGAAAAAAACGTATTCCCTACATATAAAATTATTTTTTATTTCTCCTGAACAATTTGCAAAAATGGAGTTACATCGTTTTTGCACCAAGTTCTTTAATTGCTGTGGAGTTTCACAGCAATTGTGTGTGATGGTTGGTTACAATTGCTGGTGAAATTCCACAGCAATTGTGTGTGATGGTAGGTTACAATTGCTGGTGAAATTCCACAGCAATTGTGTGTGATGGTTGGTTACAATTGCTGGTGAAATTCCTCAGCAATTGTGTGTGATGGTAGGTTACAATTGCTGGTGAAATTCCACAGCAATTGTGTGTGATGGTTGGTTACAATTGCTGGTGAAATTCCTCAGCAATTGTGTGTGATGGTAGGTTACAATTGCTGGTGAAATTCCACAGCAATTGTGTGTGATGGTAGGTTACAATTGCTGGTGAAATTCCACAGCAACTGTGTGTGATGGTAGGTTACAATTGCTGGTGAAATTCCTCAGCAATTGTGTGTGATGGTAGGTTACAATTGCTGGTGAAATTCCACATCAACTGTGTGTGATGGTTGGTTACAATTGCTGTGAAATTCCACAGCAATTGTTTTGCTGAAACTAAAATATACCAAACCAAAAACACTAAACACCAAAACTTGCACTGAAGTTTTTGAGCAAATTAATTCAGTTAAAATAAAAAGAACTTTTTTCCGAATTTCACACTCCAATGGAAAAGACACGATCGTGGCTTTTCCGTTGGAGTGCGGCTTTTAAGATTAATCTTTAAAAATTTATTGCAAAAAATTCTTTTCTAAAAATCATTCATTATTTATTCAATGAGGTCTTAAATTTTTTGTTTATAATTTATGTAGATGTTATAAATTGAAAAACAGCATACAAATTTCAAAATTGTTTTTTTTTCCCCACTTTCGTTTTTTTTTAGTTGAAATTTTCTGAATATCTTTTAATTTTATCAAGCAGCCAAAGGGTTAAACATTTTTCTTTTCAAAATCGTACCTTGAATCTGTAAATTATTTAACTAATTGCTAAAATTGATTTGTCAGAAAATTTTGTTGTTTGAGTCAGCAATTACTGAAACTTGTCAAAACCAAATACAAAACTGTTTTTAGATTACTAGGTCAATAAAAGAAAAATGGGCAAGAACTTAAACATCAAAAATACACCAAAATTTCCAATGTGATTTTTTGTAATAGATAAATAAAGTTGCATATTATTCAATATCATTTTTCATGTTTAGTTGCATATTATTCGATACCATTTTTTCAATCAATTGCACTTTGCTGAATATTGTTTAGTATAGAATTTAGGTTTGAAGTTTTTACTTTGTTGGCATTAGAAAATCTAGTTCTGCCTACTCTAGACTTAGCAACTAATCAACAAATATGGTTTCCTTGAAGTAAATGTTCTGTTAAAGATTTTTTTTTAACCATAAAATGATTCAGCGCAATTAATTAGTGGAGAGCATTAGCAATTTTATCAACTTTTTTTGTTGTTGTTTTGTTTCATTTTTGAAAGTTGGTGATACAGCAAGAGCTTTTACTGATGTGGTGATATAGTTAATACCACTTTTCTTATTTTATTTAAAATTATTTTATTTAATACTGAAAATAGAATATAATAAAATCTATAAATTTTATTTAAAATTTTCTTATAGATATAGATTAAGAAAATATTTAGTTTTAATTAAAATGTTGTACTATTATATACATGATTTACTTTTCCAGAAGTTTCCGGATGTTTTTTGTTATTAATTTGAAAAAAAAAATTATATATTTTTATATAGAATTTTAAATACAACAACTTTTGCATTTAAACAAATATGTTTTCTATAATTAAATTTTTCACGAGATCAATTTTCATAACAATTTTTCTTATTTTTCATTCAAATTAACTTTTTCTAATATTAGAAAATCCTTTTTGTAAAAAGATAAATAATCTAAATTCCGTTTAAAGTTTACGAAAGTTTTTGTTGTCTGTTAATATGATCAATTTTTATTAAAATTTTCCGGGATTTTCAAAAAAAAAATTTCTTGGATTTTAATAAAGTCATCTATGTATATAGCATATGAAATGCTAGTCATGTATGATATAAATTTGTCATTACCAGAAAAATTCGGTATTGTACTAATTAATCTGTAAGTTTGGTTATATTCATAGATTAGGTTGGCCAAATTTATATTATCCATCAAAAATCATATTTTATTATAGTTTTTTTTGTCTCTAGCAGTAAATCAGAACCATTCCCTCGTCACCATAGAAACACCATCCTCTTCTATTTGTTTGACTGAAAATGAAAAGAACTATGTAGAAACACCTGAAGCTTCACTTTGTATACCTGAAGAATTAAATCATACTCATGTGGATACACCAAAGCAAACACTATCATCTGTCGAATCTTTAATGAAACAAGAGAGTTTATCTATGTAAGTTATTTTTAATTAATTTTTTTTGTTCAAGTTTTGCAGTTTTTCAACCCAATATTTTGTTATTTAAATTAGCTCAAAAAGTTCATTATATGAAAATAAAGATGCCAGTTTTGGTTCTCATCTAAAATCAGTTACACAAAGAGAGCATGTTGCACCAATCTCTCCTGTATCTATAAATGAAACAACAAGTATTTCAACTGAAACACCTACAACATCTGTTGGAATAAGTACCTTTGAGGGAATATCTGTTGGTGAGCTTTTGAATCCTTCACATTCAGAGATTTATGATGGAGTATCAGAAGGAGAGTTAGGCTTTCCTCTGGGAGTAAAGATTTCTAATCTTTTGCATGAATATCCTGAAGATTTGAAAGAATACAGCTGTGGTATGCTTTAAATTTAATTGCTATGTTCTTGTAATTGTAGTTTACTATTATAAAAGTTTTTAATTCATAAAATTTAATTTTATTTGTTTATTTATCTTTTTATTAATCCATAATCTAAATCTTACTTTTGTATACAAAATTTTTTTTTTTTTTTAGACACAAAAATGATTTTAAAAAAAATGATTGGATCATGTCACTCAAAAACAATAGAAAAAAAAGAAAGCGTTTCTAAAATGACCGATTCTTCAATAGGAGAATACAAAGAAAAATCTTTAGGAGAATCTTTTAAAGACAAATCACGGAATAATAATGATTATTTTGAGTTTGATGTAAGTTGGTTTTGAAAAATAAGACATCAGATTTGAATTTCAAGATCAAAGTTTTTTTAAACTTGGACATAAAAAGTTCAAAATCAAAAATTATGTTCAAAATCAAAATTTTTCATCTTGAACATATCTGATAAAAAAAGTTTTGAAAATTTTTAAATAATATAAATTAAGTTTTCCAGCATTTTTACCTTACTAATGACTTTTTAAGCTCTTTATTAGTTAACAAGTTTCTGTAATTTGTTCAAGTATCAGGTTCCAGTAATATGTTTCAGCAATTTGTTCCAGTATAATGTTGCAGTAATAAGCTCCAGTAATTTGTTGTAATATTATGTTATACTTGTGTGCCAGTTCTACTATTTGCCATGAAATCAAGTTAGAATCTTCTGGCTATTCTTTAATGTACATTTGATCTTTACTTCTCATACTTTTCATGCATCTCTTAACTCAATCAACTTTCTTTTTGTTTTTTATTGTCTCCTTTTATAGGTCTTTTTTATCTTTTTCATGTTATTTCTGATCAAATTGACCAAGTCTTTTTTCTGTATCCCTTAGGTAATATTGTTGTTATATACTTTAACGTTTATCACACTGATTGACTTGGTTCTAATATTTCTGACCTTGCTAGCTTTAAAGCTCAAAATTTTTGTAATTTTCTATCTTGAACTAGTTAACCTTGTTACTCGATTTCCAGACAATTCTAATCACTAACCCTCAACCTTTGTTTGCGTCTTGTTTCTGAACCTCCCTTATGCTTGGTTTCTTCTTTTTCTATTTTAGCTGGTTCAAATCACGATATGATCTCACTAAAGCTTTTATTTAATTCTTCAACATCAGATTCACCCTTTGCGCTTTTTACTACTTTTTATAAGGCTGACTGGGTTTTCTTCGTGATGGTCGTTGAACTGATTTTTTTTTATCTCTGCTGAAAATTGTGTCTCTTTTATAATCTCCTAGATTCAGGCTATTTTCTCTTTAGATGTCCAGAATCAGTCCTTCTTCATTTGCTAAAATTACTTCCCGCTTCAACTTTTTTAAAGTTTGTAGTCCAGACAATATTCCTGTCATAGTCTTAGAAAAGTGTTCCGCATTTTCTTTATTACTCTGAGCAACAAGTGCTTAACTAAATCCTATTATTCTGCCTGCTGAAAAATGCACCTGTATTTATTGTTTTCAAAAAACTAGAGATTGCTATGAACTTTCTAGCTAACACCTAATAAGCCATTTTGCAATTATTAGCAAAGTTTTTGATTTTTTAATTCAGTTAATTAACTCATAAAATGAATAATTAAAATCATTAAACAATTAATTATCTCATTATGAGTCTAACAACTTACTCTGTGACAATCACAGGTTTCTGTCCATATATTTTTTTAATTTCATTTCTCTTCTGTGACAGATTAAGTTTGTAGTGGCAGGTGAACTATATTCCTAATAAGGTTGTCTCTCTGTACTGTTCTCGCCATTTTCTTACTCCTAATTCTATTTTCTGTTTCTTTAAATCTTATTCATCATTGTATTAAATACTGTTATTTTATTTGAGCTTGTTCTTCTAATGACACCCTATCTTTTTTAGACAAGGTCCAAAAATGAATGGCAAATGGTGTTCCAGCTGCTAAGCCTTAGCCTCTGTTCTATTGTTGTAAAGTTGCACCTCTTTCTTTTTTCTACAAATGCTGCCACGTTGCTGCCCTAGCAAGCTAAGACATGTACCAGAAAAAATCTGTGTGTGTTCTGATGTGGTGTTTACGGAAACCTCACATTACTTTAATGAGCTAATTATTTTAAAGTGCCATAGTCATTAATGTTATTCAAAATTTATCAAAACAATTAGCTTTAATTGAAATGTGATCAAATCAAGATAAGAGGCAAGAAAATATTTTGCATTTGCTGGTTGGAAATCCTGGTTTATCAAACAAATTTTTAAAAAGTTACAGATTGCTTTGAGAACAGTGCGGAGCATTGTGAAACAATTTAAGGACTCTGGTACAATCAAAAGGAAATCAGAAAATAGAAGAAAATTTTTTTTTGTTCAACAAGATCTTGTTAAAAAGTGAAAGATGCCTTAGAAATCCAGAGATTTCTGTTTGAACTTTAGCAAATAAGTTTAAGACAAATGCTTCCACTATAGATGAAGTGAAGAGATATTGTAGCTATAAATCTTTTGGCGAAAATGCTGGGGAAAATCTTCACAAATGTCACAGCAAGATTGTTTGCCAAAAGTGCTGGGGAAAATCTTCACAAATGTCACAGCAAGCTTGTTTGGCAAAAGTGCTGGGGAAAATGCTGGGGAAAATCTTCACAAATGTCACAGCAAGATTGTTTGGCGAAAGTGCTGGGGAAAATCTTCACAAATGTCACAGCAAGATTGTTTGGCGAAAGTGCTGGGGAAAATCTTCACAAATGTCACAGCAAGATTGTTTGGCGAAAGTGCTGGGGAAAATCTTCACAAATGTTACAGAAAGATTGTTTGGCGAAAGTGCTGGGGAAAATCTTCACAAATGTCACAGCAAGAAAAAATGTTGTTTGGATCATGCAAGAAAAACCTCAAGAATTAACAACTGATATTTTTTGTTGAGGTTTAGAAACATCAGATCCTAATATTTCCAGTATTATTTTGAAAAGATGTTTTAAGTCTGTAAATAAATTAGTACTACTAGAATAGATGTTGCAACTATTACTGACTGAAAATTCCACAAGAAGTAAGAATATTAATGAGGTTTTACCTAAGCTTTTAACTAATTGATGTTTATCAACAAATAAATTGCGTTGATATAGAAGCCAACAGCAGTTTATCTGATAGCAAATAAATTCTCAGCTATAACTATGAAATTTACTTCTATTAAAATAATTTGAAATTAATTATTAAATGATAAAAGCATGTTTTTTCTCATTAAGCAAAACCTCTTATTTGGGAAAAACTTCTTTTGTATTTTTAAAAAATCTAATAACTTAATTTTGTGTATGTTAAGGAGTATGTTAAAAAATAAAATTGGAGCATAATTTTTAGCACTGACTAAAAATGACTGTCATGTTTTATGTAAAAAAAAAAAAAAAAAAAAAAAATTTAAGTAGAAACATTTGATAAACAGCATCAAAACCTTTATTGGATTAAATAAAAACTGGTAGAGGTTTAGCCATACGTATTCAGATTCTTACAGAAACTTACAGAATTTAACAAAAGTTGCATTCAAATAGGGAATTCCGGTCTGTGAATTTGTGACTTTTGAGTCATTTCAGTTCCAGCCAGAATTGCAATATTTCAGACTGGAATATATTTTTGACCTTTTTTTTTAAGACGTGACAGACTGTGTAGAAAAAAATTGTCCTACAGTGTAATGATGAACTAAAGGTAAACCTAGGTAAAAAATGCAAAATTCTTAACAAACACAATGTAATTTTATTTGCAGTAATCAATTATGTAAAGATTTCTAGAAGTTTAGGAATATTGTAGTGAAAAAAATAGTTGCTATCCAGTTTTGGGCAACAAACAAGCTCTTTTTTCATTAAAACTGTTACCTACCTCTGAAAATAGTCTCATTTTAAATGTTACTTAAAATTTAAATAATTAAAAATTAAAGGGTGCCTAATACAGTTAATATTTCAATTTTAACCTAAATGGAAAAATAGGAAAAAAAAGAAATAATTTTAAGTATAAATATAATGCAGATTAAAACTTTTAATAAATAAAATTATAAAAAACAAATGAAAACAATATATTAGATTTGAAAGAAACAAAAATCAAGTTAATAAAGTTATATATATATATATATATATATATATATATATATATATATAATATATATATATATATATATGTTTGTTTGTGATGTATATTACAGTATGTTTTGATGTATATCACAGTATGAGAAAAAACAAATAAAATTATACTTATACAAGATATAAACACAAGTGTTTTAAAAAAAACCTCAAATATAAAATTATAAAAAGATAAAAAATTAATACATCATATGCAAATAAGTTTATAAATAGTAAGTTATAAAATAATTTTTTGTTGTTCAATTGTTTTTTCTATTAAGTGTTTTATTTATTTTTAAACACAGTTTTAATTTTTTTTTTTTATATGCAATGCTAACTCATTTAACAGGGTGAGTTCCAGTGTAATTTTTATATCTGATGGTAGCTTGTTAGACACGATAAGTTGTGGTGTATTTTGGTATCCAATGGTAGTATCATCCAATACTAGCTTACTAGTATCATCCAATACTAGCCTATTAAATGAGTTATATTCTGGTGTATTTTGGTATCCAATGGCAACTTATTAAACATTGTGAGCCGGAATATTTTTTATACATTTTTCCAATAGCAGCTTGTTGAACAAGTTCTGATGTATTTTTTATATCCAATAGAAGCTTGTTAAACATGAGTTCTGTTGTATTTTTTATATCCAATAAAAGCTTGATAGCTTGTGTTAATATCCAATAGAAGCATGTTAGCTTTTGTTTATATCCAATAGAATCTTGTGAGCTTTTGTTTATATCCAATAGAAGCTTGTTAGCTTTGCTTCTATCCAATAGAAGCTTGATAATTGCTGTGATTTTTATTTTATATTTGTATCTAATACAAAGTAGATAAAAAAAGTTCAAAAGCAAGCAAAGCTGTTAAGAATATGATGCTGGGTAACTCCTTTTGAGATCAAAATTGTATTTTGAACACTCTATCGATTTTGATTACTATTTACCCATTAGTTTTTAGGGGTCAACCTGGACCTTTTTTAGATATGAATGAATGTTTTTTGGAGGATAAAAATGAATGCTCTTTTTTATACAGCATCAAAATATTGGTTTTCAATGCTTTTTTCTTTGATAAAGAAAATTAAATTTTACTACTTAAATAATTAATATTTAACATCAATTCTTATAACATATATTTTCAAAGCAATATATAGATAAAAAAAATAAATGTACGTTGTGCAAATCAGAGCACACGAAGATTTCGCATCCTCTGGGAGCTCCAACTCCTTTCTGTTACCAATATTTTTAATCAGTGAGCTGATGATCCAAGAAGCAGAAGCTGAGGATCCAAGAAGCAGAAAAACTTTATCAACTTGTCCATGTGCATGGTTTTCCTTGAGATCCTCTTTGGAAATAAGTTTCTAAAAGACCTGCTGTCTTTTAGAGACAGCTGGGCAGCTTTTTCAGCAATAAATTTAGATCAGATTTGATGTCATTGTTTGGAGACATTACACAGAAGATATTAAAGCTCGTTAACAACTGTTCCACAACTCCAGTGTTTTGGCAAAATCGGATTGGAACAAGCAATTGGAACCTTTAGATTTGAGACATCAATTGAAACCTTCAAATTTGGGACATCAATTGAAATCTTTGGATTTGGGATATCAATTAAAATCTTTTGATTTGGGACATCAATCGGAACCTTTGGATTTGAGACATCAATTGGAACCTTTGGATTTGGGATATCAATTGGAACAAAGCTTCTGAAAAACTAAGATTATCTTTCCAGAACTTGTTCTGTCTATTGTGAGCTGTACATACCAACAATTATGGTGAGCTACAGTTTACCTTTTACAGAGATAGGATTGATTGCTGTTGGAGGTTTAATAGCCTTCTTAATTAACTGTCTTTTTTATCAGCCTTTATTTGGTCTCTTTTACATACTGTAATCTTGTACTTTTTGTATCATACGGTAGCTTTTGGTTTATTTATTTTTATCTAATGGCAGCATTTTAGACGATGAGTTCCGGTGTATTTTTATATCCAATTGTAGCTCGTTAAATATAGCAAGGTAGGCATATTAAACATGGTCATTTTGTTTCATTTTTTTGTATCCAATGCTAGTCATTATGCTCGTTAAATATATTGATTTCCAGTGTTTTTCATCCAAATTTTATATCCTGGGTTGGTTTTTAGGCCGCCTTAGCAAGCTTGCAGTTTTTTGTTTCAAATTTTTTTTTAAATCTACTATTTTAAAAATACTTAGTTTTTTCATTGCTAAACAATTGTTCACTGTGCATTTCCTTTAATATTTGAGTTTCATATGAAATATAAAACTACTAATTTTTTTTTTATTACAGCTTTCAGCTGATCCTCAAAAGAGTGCTGGAGAGATTCTTTATGAAATGCTGATTCCACCTAAAAATGCATCCAATAATAGTAAGTTAATTTTTAAATTGTTAGTCATAAACTGAAATTAAACGTTTTTTATTGTTTGTATTGTTTTATGGATCTTTATTATAAATAAAACATCGTTAACATTTTACTTAATTATATTAAGTTATTATTTATACTTTGGTTTACCAATTATGCGGTAATAATATTTTGGTATTATGATAACGGTTATATAGTACCTTTGTTGGGAAAATTCAACCCTCTGCAAACCTACCAACCGGCCAGCTAATTTGATCTAACCAAATAATTTGTTAACGAGTGATTTGCATCAAGCTAACAAAGACTATTTTTACAAACATAATGATAAGATAAAACAATTTACAGATTTGATTTAGTTTTCGTTTGCCGTCTCTATCTTGTGATTTATCATTTTCACTTTTATTTGATTTTTCATTTTTTCTGTCACATGTCACGTTTTTACTCTATCATAATTTGGCTTTTTCACTATCGATTATCTCTTTTTCTATCGATTTGTCGTTTTCACTATCTATTTAGCGTTATTAGTCTTATTAGTGAAAAAAATTTTGCATTTTATTTGTTAGTTGCAGATGGTGGTAAAAAAATACAGTTACAGCCTCAGATTATGCATTTGGATGGTATGTTTAAACCTACAGTAAAGAAGAACCATATAGACTCCAATAATTTTTTGCAATATGAATCAACCATCAGAAGTGAAGGAGAAATTAACTCGAATGTTCAAGATAAATATACAAAAAACGTTAATTCAACCGATGATATCACTCTAATAGATGATGATTTAAGTCAATACGAATTATCCTCGTAAACCTATGGTCCAATTGAGTGATATATGGGTTTTGACAATAAACCTTTGTTTTTATAGGATTTTATTGAGGTTTATTAACTTTTTAGTATAACTTTTTATTATTTATTTGAATTCAAAGAATTTTTATTTATGTAATATAGAAATATGATAATATCGAATAACATGATTCATAATTTGTTTTAATATATTGTCTGTTTTCTTTCTTTTCTCAATTATTTGACCCTTACATAGCGTAGCCCAAATTATTTTCATGATAGCTGATTTCAAACTATTTGACTTTTGAAATGAACGTTCAAATATTTTGCTTCGTAAAATGTTTGGGCGTTTAAATATTCGGGTCTATTTTTCGGTCTGTTTTATTACAGACCAAATTAGTCTGTATTGAATTTTGCTAAAATTTTAGATTGAACAACAATATATAATAGCTAGGCGATAATATAAAAATAATAGCGGTTGAACACAAACCTTTTTTACTTTTTTTTTACAAATACCAATATTGTTGGTTATTTTTTGCTTCTAAATATTACATTAAAATTACTTTAATTATTCAAAAGTTTAATCTCCAGCTAAACCAGTCTTAAAGTAAATAAATTATTTCAGTGCAACGAAGAAATCTCACAGTGGCTGCTCAAAACGAAATTGTTATATGCTTATGTGAAAAACAGAAAATTAACTATTACACATTCGTTTTTAATTTTAACTAAATTATTTGTAACTTGGCGGGATATTTTTAACTTGTAATTCCAAAATAAAATCTGACTCAAAACACTACGTATTTATAATATTCGGAAAGCACAAAACATCTGTGTTTTACTGTATTTTAACAAATTTCTTTGAAATTGTCGGTAAAGAATAAGCAAGACATAAGGTATTTCTAGTATTAATAGAGAAATAAAACTCACAATAGAATTAAACTGTTCCTATATCTTCATGTTATTTTTATTATTATTTAGGGATCAACATTATATCTATTGATGAAATTCGAATAATTTTTTTAAAAAAATAACATCTGGGGGAACACGCGCTACCGCCGAGAAAATGATAAGAGATTGAAATGATATCCTTAATTTATTGAAACGAAGAGTATAAGTAATCAAGGCAACTATTTTGACAACTATCTTTTCAAATGGTGTCATGTATTGTTGTTTTTAAGGAGAAAATTGTTTGCAGAAAATGCTTTCATCAACTAAATTAACTTTATTTTACTCAAATAGCATTCATCTCTGATCGTTATCTATAATTATTCAAAACGATACATTTGATAACATAGCAAAAGTTTATCTGATAGAAACGTTAAAGACTACCTACTCTCAAAAATTCCTTATGACTTTGCCGTATATGTTTTTATCTATCGGTAAATTGTCTGATTGCCTAGTTTTACAAAAATATTATTATTTTTTTCCGAACTTTTATTATTATGTATTATTATTTATTAAGTATTTAGAACCATTAACAAGTTTTTAACCATTAACCGCTTTTTAACTATATTTGTCTTTCTTTTAGTTTCTCACTAATTTTACTTGTCAAAGAAAATTACGTTGCATTAGTCATTGTAAAGTTTTCGTATGCATGTTTCACTTTAAGCAAAACAAAATTGTTATATCTCTATTTTTAGTTTCTATTATGATATTAAACTGTTATTAAAAACATTTAAAATATCTAACTCTCTGAAAAATTGTTTTTAATCTCGTATAAATGAAGGATTAAGGTCATGAGAAAATTATAATTTGTTATTGTTTCGACATAATGTTCGCAATGTAATGAAATGCACTATTTTATGACATTTTAAGATCAACTAACTCCAGAAACCGAGATCTCTTATTACTACGAATATTTAATTAGTTGAATATTTAATTACTTACATTCAACATGTAGTTAGCCTTATAACATTAAGGCGACCTGACAAAAAGAAAATGACCGAAAAGGTAAATAATATAATTTGAAAATTAAAATGAATTTAAAGTTGAAAATTAAAGTTCTGAAAATCAAATTTAAAAATTTTATTAAATTTTATAAAGTAAATTTTTTTTCCTGTACAGTACTACGCAAAGTAAACCATTTTTAAGTTGCCTTTTAATAGCTCAATACCAAGCAAATGTTTTCAATTATATTTAACTTAAACAACTCGATATCTAAAAACAAAGAAAAATGAAATGTTCAACTAAATTAAATATGTTGCTGTTATTCCAGTCTATACAACTTTACATTTCAAATATATTTTTGTAATTTTGATAGTGTTTACTTGTTAGGCATTGTATCCAATTAGTAGGAATGCTTCCGCTATAATTCGTTTTATTAAGCTTTTAAAGAATGTTGCGATTAAATGTCATTATAATTTTAAAATGTTGCTGTTTTAAAGATAACATAACTATTTATTTTGTATTTGTTATCCACAATATTCATAAAATAATTCGTGTGTATATATATATATATATATATATATATATATATATATATATATTATATATATATATATATATATATAAATATATATACATATTACTCTTTAGTAAGCGTGCATATTATTCAAATAGTAAAAAAAAATTCTTTTCATACTCTATTTATTATTATTTTATACATGATATCAAATACATAAATAAAGTAACTCTTATAAGTTAATATATATATATATATATATATATATATATATATATATATATATATATATATATATATATATATATATATATATATATATATATATATATATATATATATATATATATATATATATATATAATATATATATATATATATATATATATATATATATATATATATATATATATATATATATATATATATAAGTAAAATTCATTTCCACATTAGTAATACAAATTCCTATCCTACGGAAAAAGCGATCAAAAATTGGATAAAGAAATGAATTTTAAAGAATTGTCGAGTAATCCTAAAGAGATTAAGGACAGTGATTTTTTTAAATGGTATTTGCTACAAAATATTTCTTTGTTATTGATCAGTCAGCTGTTTTCCGTAATAAACATAGGAAAATTAGAGTCTAGGAATTATGTTGTAGCAAATCGCAACAATTTTTACTTTTCAAAAAAATCAATTTTTGATTTTCTAATTTTTGCGCCTTAAAATTATTACTTAATAACAGTATAATAAAACATTTTTTTATTTTTAAATCATCTTTTTTTAATGCGATGTTTTTGTAAAGAGAGTTCATTTTACACTATGAAAAGCTTAATAAACTTTTTTTTTTTAAACACAATAAGAATTTATATAATTTTAACCATTGTATTAAAATAAGTTACATTTTCATTGTTAAATAAGGTACCTCAAATTTTATATTAAACGATAGGCAGTAACATTTAAAGTGGGAGTATCAAATCATTTAGTACGGACGTATCAATTCATTTAAAAGCAGATATTAAATTCCGCGAAAGAATTTGAAGAACCTATTTTAGGAATATTTATACAGTTAGTTTAAAACATATGTCACAGTTATATTCCATATTTTTCCGATTAAAAGCAATTCTCCACATTTTCAATAGTTGCAATTTATTGGAAACTTCCAAACAAAACAATACAAAATAAAAATAGAAAGAAATCTGTTTTATATGAATAGAACAACTCATGTTGAGATGTAAAGAAACCAACCGACCAATCAAATTTGATTATTGTTATTGTGTTTTTTTTCATTGTTACAACAAAGTATGTAATTATACGCAAAAAAAAAAAAAAAAAGCAGAACAGTCATAGATTAAGAACAATACAGTGAAACGTTAAAGTAAGAACGTCAAGAGTTTGCTAAATTTAATAGACTTTTGAAAAAACATAATATGATAGCCGTTTCAAGCCATAACAAAGTCCCACCAAGGCTTCCAAAATGTGCGAGGTGCGTTTATAAATACATTAACTTGGTAATTATAATCATTTGGTAAAAATTAATTTATTTATCAGTAAGAACATGTTACATCAGTAACGAAAATGAAACAATAAATTATTTTTTTTAGGTGCAGGAATCACGGTGTCGTCTCAATACTTAAAGGGCACAAACGATTTTGCCGATGGCGTGACTGCAATTGCCCAGATTGCAACTTGATTGCTGAGCGCCAAAGGGTCATGGCGGCACAAGTAGCATTGCGACGTCAACAAGACCAAGAAGAATACATGAGAGCAGTTCAATTGCAACAAAGTGATGATCCATCTCCGGCAATTTCTCAACCTGTCTCTACTACCCCATTAAACGGTGTTATTAAAGGTCCTACTTTATCCGTAGCGCAAACTTGGAGTTTGAACGAGCCAGTTGTCATGTCAGAAATCGCAATAGGTAAATTTGTTCATAATAGTGTAAAAATATAATGTTTTGAGGGTGTTTTGGGTAGGAGGAGATTTTTTGGTCGGTAAAAGCTTATCAATAAAGCTTAAAAATTCTAGAAAAGAAATTAGTTTTTTAAAAATAAATATGAAATTATCTCTCTCTGCTATTCTTCTATTTATGCTTTTATAATAAACCGTTACTTTCATTTTAAGTTTATTTATACACTCTCAAATCCATTTTTAAATATGTAAAAAAAAAAAAAAAAAAAAAGAAAAAAAAGTGTTTCATAGTTAATAAGGTTTTTTTTTTAGTGTTACTATTTTATGACTAAATTTTAATAATATTGAAGCATAGAATTTAATAATAATAAGCATGGAACTTTTGCAACTTTCAAAGAGCGAGTATTTTCGACGAAGGGGTATATTATTTTCAAAGAAGGAATATATCGTTTTTAAAAAACGTTTATATTAATTTCATAAAACAGATATATATTGTTTTCAAAGAACGTGTATACCGTTTTCAAAAAACGGGTATTTAATAAAAAAACACGAGATTCCCTTTTTTTTATTTATTTTTAAACCTAATGTTTACCTATTGTTGCATACGTTGTATAGTGCAGGTACACAACGTTAACGTTGCCCAAGTAGTTTTTTGTATATCAAAACATAATACAAATACCTAAAGAACAATTCTTTAGTCAATTAAATATTATATTTAAAACGTCTTCTTTTAAATACTAACTTATTGTTTACATATTTGTTTTGGCTAAAAATAAAAAACTTATTTGGTTAAAAAGAATTAAGTACTTACCTATTGTTATATTACTTGTAGCGCTTTTTGTTAAACGCAATTTGAAAATATTTTAACATTCGCCAATTTTTTTTTTTTTTTTTAACAAGTTTAAGTTGTAATAAATTAAGTAGTTGAAGTCTTCGTTACTAGACCAGTTACTTAAAAAGACCTATTAAGGATATTATTTCTTCGATTAAATTATTATATCTAATAATAATTTTATGTTTAATAATTCTTCTTAGATTTAATATTCAACTTAAGGCTATGAAAATCGTATTTTTGTTGTATTTTAGTAAAATAAATAAGTAATAAAAAAATCAGTTTTTTGAAAATTATTTTTAAACCGTCTTATTCATCTTTTTATTAGAAATATTGAGAAGTACTCAGCAATAGACTTGCAATCTGAAAGAGATTATATTGAAATAAAAAGCTTAGTAGATATTAAATTGAATAAATGCAACAGTCTTATCTATAATTGACCGTCTTTCATATCTTTGACGAAGTTTCAGTTTGAATATGAACAAAGATTTTACCGCTCTTCTATTTAGTACCAAATGTGCATTAAAAAATTTTCCTGTTTTTTGTTTCAACTGTGAAAACATAGATTTTTCATTTTAATTAATTGATTGTTTGTCATTGTTTTTAAGTTTATTCAAGTTATATATTTTTTTGTTTTGAACAAACTTTGTTTACAATCGGTTGTTAACGGGGGAAAACATGTGTTGATGTTGACGATCGAAATTCAAACTTCCGAATCAATAGCTTCCTAACTTTGCTACATATTAAGGAAATAATTTCCTCAATTAAATAATTATTATTACATCTAATAATTTTTATATATATCTTTCATATATATCAGATATAATTTTATTATATCCAATATTGTTTATACTATATGTTATTACTACTCATTTCAAAATTATAAAGTTTGAAAAATGAATTTAATTAGTAATTTCAAATTCATTTAGAAATCATTCTAAATCATCCTATTGTAATTTAAAATATTGATTGATTACAGTATTAAAAGTATACTTTTGTGTGTGACTTTTTGACAAGAGTTATATATTATTAATTTTTTTTGTGAAGAAGTCTCTGTTTGAAGATGGACACATTTCTTCTCATTTTTAATTATTAACCATGTGCTAGATAGAAGAGCATGATACGGGTCTTGTTAAAATACGCCACCGTCGCCGCCAGCATTTATCAGGTTATTGATTAGTTAGTTGCTTAAGTTTAAATTTAAAAAGTAAAAAATAATTCAATTGCAAATGTAATTAAATATTTTAAAACCCTCTATCAGAAATAAAATATAACAGAAGCAAATAAAATTTAACAGGGCGACTGAAATTACATAAAAGTATAGAAATTGTAAAAACTTTAAAAACAGTTTATATTTGATAGAAAATCTTCAATTAAATATTATTTTTACCGTTAAGGTGATGCAAAATGCCACGAGTTCAAAAAAGAAGAAACTTATAATTCAGACGACGATTACGCTATTGGAAACGTTGCGGACGATTCACCGGAATGTGAAGACAAAAACGAAAAGTCAGAAACTTGTGATGAACAGGCATCACCAAAGCGAAAGTTATCATCTGTTATAGAAAATCACAACATAATGCCATTAGTGTCACCACGGCTTCAGTCATCTTCATCTTCAGAGAACGAAGAACCTGTTGTAAAAATTGCTCGAATTGAACCAGAAATGTCAGTTCATCAGAAGCAGCTACAACAAAAAAACCTAGATTTGTTATCTCGCCTATATCCTGAGCAAAAAAGAGGAGTTCTTGAACTAATTTTAAAAGGTTGTAATAACGATATTGTGCAAGCAATCGAGTGCATTTTACCAAGTCACGAAAGAGCTATACAACAGTTATCTATGTTACCGAACCAAAGTTATTCTCTAAATGGTAGCACAAAAACCATTGAAACACTTACCCGAACCTACCCTCATATCACAGGTGAAAAAATTTCGTCAGCATTCTTGCCTTTTACTACTAATCAACACTCGATACCTGTTCAGTCTTTTTCTGCTACTATAACCTCTGGTGGTTGCCCTCCTGGGTGTATGTGCCAGAAACAGCAAAAGTGTGAATGCGTTGACTGTTTAAACGGAAAAACAAATCATATGCCTAATAATCACACTTCTACGAACTCACTAAAATATCCCATTCAAACATTATCTCATTTAAACCATATTGCTCCTAACAAATTAAAAACTGCCCATAGAATGGCGCCATACGTTCCGGTATCATCGCATGTAGGAAATACGTTATCAGAGCCAGTTAAAATATGTGCTGGATGTGGTGGAACTATGAAACTCGAAGACCAGAGATGCCCTAATTGCGAGCCGGAGCCAATTAAGACTTGATTAGTAAGCCCCATATAAAAAGTGAAAGTAACTGATTTAGTTCGATTTATCCTTTTAGATTAATGTATTTAGCATTAAACATTAAAAAAATAATATAAATTCAAACACATTTTATTATTTGATAAAGTGGTGTTTGAGGGGTGGGGGTGGGGGATGGGGGGCGGAGTGTGGAGATCCAATATTATATTTGTTGGCACTGAAAATTTGTTGATAATTACTTTAGTTCCATTAACATAAAAACGGTCTTATTTAAGTGCTATTGATAATATTTATTTAAAAAACATTTTTTACAAGTCCATAGTGGAACAAAATGAGCTAATAACTATAGTTTTGATAAAATAGATTTTATTACAAAATAAATATAGAAACTTAATACTGTTTATAAGTCTAAAATTTGAATTTTGTAACCATACATTACAATACCTTTAAAAGCCAAAAGGTAATTTGGTGTTTGAAATAAGAAACTTTTTATACCTAAATTTTGCCCAGTTGTTTGACTTGTTTTTTTCCAGTTGCTTGCGATTATTAAAATGTAATTATTTGATATTTTTTATTAAATTGATTAGTTTTTGTTATTTATATTAATTGATGAACCTTTGATTTATCTTAAGATACAAAAAAAAGAAAAAGAAAAAAAGAAAAGAGTTAAATTGAAAAAATAGAAAAAATAGAAATAAATATAAAAAATACAAAAAAATAAACATGGTGTTCAATAATTACATATGTTTACAAGATGAGCTTGTCTACAATATTTTTATCTTTTATAGTTTTACAAATGATCTGGGTTTGTGTTCTAATCTCTCCGTCAAGCTTAACGGAGCTTTAGTCAAAAATTTCTTTTTAACTACATAGTAAAAAACTCTTTAAAAATATGATCTTTTAAATATAAATGTTTTATTTTAGCATTAGTTTTACTTAAACAAATTTAAATAAAGTTTTTTGTCATTTCCTTACTTAGAAATATTTTAATCGAATTTCAGACAAAAGCTCCGTTAAGTTTAACGGAGAGAAGCGAATACGGTTGCAGACCACGTTTTACCATGGTCCGTTTTTTTGGAGTCTTTTAGCCAGTCTTAAAAAAACATTAGAAACTACAACTTCAATTTATTTTGATAATTTGTAAGGTATTTAAATTAAGATCAAACAAATTAATCAGATAAATAGTTACAAACGATTAACATGAGTATATGGGACAATATACTTTAGTAAAGTTCTTGCTCCACTTAGTCTAGATTTAAATACTTACTAGTCACTTGCATCATTGACCCTGTCAACCACATTCAACTTGAAGAAGCATACACTATCAATCTCCCTTATTGACATGTTTTTGTTTAGTCAAACTTCCTCAAATTAAACTTCATCAATTTAAAACTTTTAAACGATATTTTTTTTGTCAATCGATAAATATTTTGATGTCTTCAACAATTTTTTATTCACTTTTTTTAAATTCAATTTTAGATTTAACGATCATGTTACATTACAACGCTATTGTTTTAGAAATGTTTCATTGCGCAATTTAAGCAACTATTTAAATTACTTTGTATTACTTTGATTTACAGAATAATCAGTACAAAAACTTTTATTCAATTGCTAGTTTGTAAAAATTGAAAATTAAATGTTAAAAAAACCAAATTCTAAAATTTTAAGATTCATTTTAGTATAATAAAAATAAACGAGGCATCATTCAAACATTATTATGACACGTAATCGACATTTGGGTGAGAATTGATATAACATTTATCACTGTTAAAAAGACATTTAATGAAATTTTACAATACTACTTTGAACAAATAATGCAAAAATGAACTAGCAAATAAAATAAACTGTGTTAAACCCACCATTTATTTCATAATCTGAAAATTTTACTAGTAGGTATATGGCATTGAATATTTAAATTGATCAAATCAAGATGGTTCAAACCAAATGCTCTATTATTTAAATCAGATTTCTTAATTGCAATAGCGGATTAAGACTTTTCGGGGCCAGGAGGTAATTTAAAACAAGAGATCCTTTTCCATGTCATCAATCAAAGTTTTTAATTCCAGAGTTTCTTTTTAAAAAAACTTCTATTTTGAATTAATGCTCCAAAAACTGCAGAGTCCCCCTAACCCCCATAATCCACCAGTGCTCAATTATTATACATAATTAAAAAGTGCTTGAATTCAATATTACGATTTTAGAAAAATTGGGTCATTCTACAAAAGTTTTAAAGTATGAATAAATACATAAAAAAGCTGTATTTTTTTAAATAACAAACATGTATAGGAAAAACTGTGATCAAATTTTAATTTTTAACATAAAATATCATTATATTGTCAATTTTCATCCAAACGCATAAAGTTTCTGTATCGAAAAAAGTTTTTGAAAAGACAATTAGTAATTGTATTAAGAGCCCCTAAGCTTTCTTAAATATATTTAAATACAATTTTTTTTTTAAATATGTGTTCTTTAATACTTGTAAGGTTCTCCTCCCACCCAATATTAATGTCATACATTTGTCAATTCTTTTCTAAATGTAGACTACTTGGTATCAAAATAAAATCTTTAACAATGGTCGATGCATTGTTGTTTAATTTTAGGTGAGCAAAAAATACGTATCACCCTCTAGCTTTTTAGTTTATCTAGGCATTAGAATGGAACACACCATCCTTACCACCCACATCACCCTTTAAATTAAAATATAAGATTTATAATAGTTAAAATTATAATCTTTATTTAATATTTTAAATTTTTTTACCATTTTTTTTTACCATGTTTATTGTATATAAGCATTGTGAAGTTAAGGTGTTTGTGGTGGTAGTTGTGCATTCAAATTGACTTCTTACGGAACCTAAAAACAACTGTACTCATGAAATTTTTAGTTACAATTTATATGGTACAAAAATATTTTACAACCACTTCACACCAGTACAGAAATATTTTACAACCAGTTATGAATCATGTAAATTATAAAAATTGGTCATATATATTAGGTGCTTGCATTAACTTTGACCAGAGACATATTTTGGAATCTCATGGATCAGTGTGCTCAAACCCTTGTTACGGATCAGTGTGTAAAGACCTGAGTCATGGAACCCTTTAAATTGCATTTTCAACACTCAATACATTTTTTGCTTGATTTGAAGAAATTTGCTCTGAAACATTTTTAGAAACTTATGGTAATGCTGCTCCGTCATATCCTAATTGATACTCGATAAACGACAGGATCAGGAAGGTAAATGAATAACGAATCGCTAAAACCAAAAAATACTTTTACTTTAATGTTTACGGACGTCAATTGAACAAATTGAATGACATATTGTTCCACGTCAAATAGTAAATTATGCTTCACCGAGCACTGAAGCACACATATTTGTTGTTTTGACCAAAATAAAAATTTGTTTTGGGGCTAGTTTTGTTATAAAAACAGTATTACCGAAGCAAGATTTACGACGCCCACTCAAAATTTACTTGATTGATATTTTAGTCTTGTTTTAACACAGTATTGGTTAATTTCAAACCGTCGAAAATTGGCACACATGCAGAGATCTTGTAACTATAGCTATTCAAAATAAGAAAACTATGTTTTAATTTAAGATGCATGTCACACACAGATTTAATTAAACAAAAGGGTCCGCTGTTCTAAGACCATCCCGAAAGGAATTTTTTTTTTCGTCTAAAATGAAAACTTATGTAAACAACAACAACTTTAAATTTTGCTTTGCCCGAAATGAAATATCAGGTAAACAAGCTCTGAGTAATATTAAAAAAATAGTTTATCAGTTTATTGCACCTAAATAAAAAGTGAAATATCCAAAACTACTTTGAAATGGAATTTAAAAAGTAGTTTTAAAGCAAAAGCGAAAGAGAGTCGGAAGGCAAGCGAAAAAAAGTCGGAAGAATAATGCTAAAGGATGAGGAGAAATTAATGACCGCTTGGCCTATAAGATGTAAAAAACTTGATCATCTAATAAGATGAGATTTTTTAAAAATCGTAACTATAATATAAATACTAAGCAACAAAAATTTGTAACTCAAGGTTATGATATTTTTATAATTCAAGGTTAACTGTCGTGTTCTAGATCCTAATGAATTTAAAACAAAGCAACAGTGTGGCATTTAGAAGACTAGAATTATTAAGTTGAGCGGCATCTAATGATTCAAAGTTGAGCGGCATCTAATGATGCAAAATATCAAATTAAGGTAATTTTTAGCTTTTCGTTAAAAACGTCTAAAGTGGCCATGTGTTTTCACGAGTTTCAAAAAGATTCATAAAAAACTTTCCTTAGACGACCTCATTACATTTCCGACTCCTTATATTCGCCTGTCTTTAACTTTATCTTTTAATGTCTATTTCAAAATAGTTTTGAATATTTGATATTTTATTGATGCGGAGAAGGCTATTTTAAATCTTTATCACAATAATTTTGATTTAAGTGTTTTCCAATATCATGGAATATGTATAAACCTCAAAAGTATAAAACAAATTTAATATATTTTTAAGTAACAATAACGATCTGTAAACAACTTACTGTATACATTACTTCTATATTTATTATGTAATCACTTATTTTCGCACCATTGTTATGACGCAGTACATTTTCATAAAGCCACAACGTTTAAAGATTTTTTTTCAAACCATTAAGTTCAAAAGTAAGTCGTCTAGGATTGATATGTGTGTAAACCAATGTTGATTGGTTTGTAAACCAAACCAATTAGTTATAGTCATAAAATAAAGAGCTAGTTAAGAATGAAATCTAGAAAACAAAAAATAATTTAAAAATAAGTGAATTTTTTTCTTTCTATCTAAAATCATAAAATAAGAAAATATGTGCGAATATATATATATATATATATATATATATATACAGGGGCGGGTTTAGCTTTTTAAAGAGGTTAGTCAAAAAAGTCGGTTGCGGATTTTACTGCCCCCTCCCTAAGAAAGGACGGGGGGGGCGAAGATGAATTACAAAAAAAAGCACCTACCCCATTTGTTTGATAAGTTATTTGCAAAGCATTCAAAAAAGCGGCTCAAATGGGGTTGCATATTTAATACATATATATATATATATATATATATATATATATATATATATATATATATATATATATATATATATATATAT